CCTAACACCATAAAAATCCTAGAAGAAAATCTAGGCAAAACCATTCAGGACATAGGCATAGGCAAGGACTTCATGACTAAAACACCAAAAGCATTGGAAACAAAAGCCAAAATAGACAAATGGGACCTAATCAAACTCTGCAGCTTCTGCACAGCAAAAGAAACAGTCGTTAGAGTGAATCAGCAACCAACAGAATGGGAAAAAATTTTTGCAATCTTCCCATCTGACAAAGGGCTGATATCCAGAATCTATAAAGAACTAAAACAGATTTACAAGAAAAAAAAACAAGCCCATTCAAAAGTGGGTGAAGGATATGAACAGACACTTTACAAAAGAGGACATACATGAGGCCAACAAACATGAAAAAATGCTCATCACTGGTCATTAGAGAAATGCAAATCAAAACTACATTGAGATACCATCTCATGCCAGTTGGAATGGCGATCATTAAAAAATCTGGAGACAACATATGCTAGAGAGGATGTGGAGAAATAGGAACACTTTTACACTGTTGGTGAGAGTGTAAATTAGTTCAACCATTACGGAAGACAGTGTGGCGATTCCTCAAGGACCTAGAAATAGAAATTCCATTTGATCCAGCAATCCCATTACTGGGTATATCCAAAGGATTCTAAATCGTTCTACTGTAAGGACACATGCACATGAATGTTCATTGCAGCACTGTTTACAATAGCAAAGACCTGGAACCAACCCAAATGCCCATCAATGATAGAATGGACAGGGAAAATGTGGCACATATACACCATGGAATATTATGCAGCCATCAAAAACGATGAGTTCATGTCCTTTGTAGGGACATGGATATGTGGATGAACCTGGAAACCATCATTCTCAGCAAACTGACATAAGAACAGAAAATCAAACACTGCATGTTCTCACTCATAGGTGGGTGTTGAACAATTAGAAGACATGGATGCATGGAGGAGAGCATCACACACTGGGGTCTGTCAGGGGGAAATAGGGGAGGGACAGTGGGGGGTAGGGAGGTGGGGAGAGAGAGCACGGGGAGAAATGACAGATATAGGTGATGGGGAGGAAGGCAACAAATCACACCACCATGCATGTACCTATACAACAATCTTGCATTTTCTTCACATGTACCCCAAAACCTAAAATGCAATTAAAAAAAGGAAAAAAAATGGTTTAAATGGTAAGTTTTGTTTTACGTATATGTTATGACAATAAACAGAAAATTTAAAAATCCATGCACATAGATGTGAAAAAATATTAGCAAATTGAATGCAGCATTATATAAAGTATAATACATGATGAATAAGTGAGGTTTATCCTGGAAATACAAAATTGGTTCAATATCTTAAAAAATCAATACAATTCACCCAATTAACAAAAAAAGACAAAACATACATCAATAGGATGTGAACATGTATTTTGATAAAGTTCAATAGTATTTGATGATAAAAATTCCCAATAACATAGCAAAAAAAAAAGGAAACTTCCTTATCCTGATAAAAAGGATCTAAGTAAAACCTGTAGCTAACATTGTATTCGTGAAAGACTTTCTCCTTAAATCAGAAGTAACACAGGAATATCAATTCTAACCATTTTATTCTAATCTGTTCTGAAGTTCTTAACCATTGCAGTAAAGCAAGAAAAGGAAATAAAAGGCACACATATTAGAGGACATAGAACTGCCTTTATTCACAGATGATATAACTATATATAAGAAAAATCCCAAGGAATCTACCAAAAGTTACAAGAACTACTAATGAAGTCCAAGCACATTTATAAGATGTAAGGCTAATATACAAAAATATATCTTGGTATACTGGCAATGAAAAACTGGGGACTAAAATATTTAAAATTAATATTATTTACGATAGCATAAAACATTAAAAACTTGGGATAAATCTAACAAATGTGTCCATGATTTGTTCACTGAAAAATTTAAAACATTGCTGAGGGAAATTAAAGACTTTTGTAGAGTGATGAACTGTGTCCAGGGATTAAAAGATTCAATATTGCTCCAAAGTTAATACTCATCAAATTGATCTCTACCTAGAATGCAATTCTAATAAAACCCCAGAACGTTTTTAATGTTTTTCAGAAATTAACAAGTATATTCTAAAATACATATAGGAAAAGGAAGACCTTAAGTAGCCAAAACAATTTTGAGGAAAAATAACAGTTAGAGGCTTCATATTACCTCATTTAAAAATTGGCTTTTAAGCAGTTTAGAAAATCAAAACAATGGTATTGGCACAAAGAGAGATATATAGATTGATGGAACACAATAAAGAGTCAAAGAATAAACTCACATACATATGGTCAATTAATTTTTGGGACAAACACCAAGATAATTTAATCTGGAAAGTATAGTCTTTGCAATAAATGGCACCATAACAATTGGATATTCATAGGTAAAAATAAAATAAAACCCTCAATCCTTATCTCACTACAAAAAGTTAATTTAAAATTAATTATAGACCTATATACAAGAGCTAAAATTATAAAACTTCTAAACAAAAACACCGAAGGTTTGTTTTTGTCGGGTTTTGTTTTGTTTTACCTTGGGTTAGGAAAAGATTTCTTTGAACAATAACAACAAAACAAACTACCATTTAGAAAAGAAAAATATGAATAATTTGATTTCATTAAAATACAAACTTTTTTCTTCAAAAGACACTATTTAAGGAAATAAAACTATAAACATTTGTTAAAATATCATCAAATTGTACAACATAAAAGGGTGAGTTTTACTGTGCAAAAATTATGACTAAATAGATCAATTTTTTTAAAAACCTCATTTAAGATTTTTAAGAATCCTAGGAGAGAATATATTTTTAAGTTTTTATTTCATTCATATTACTAATAACTACAACTTATTACATATTTACTATGAAGGATCTTTTACCCATATTGGCTCATTTAGTCTTCATATTTAAGTATAGTTCCATTTTTATAGATGAATAACCTAACTCAGAACATTTTATTATCCATGTCACCCTGAGATGATAAACAGGAACTTTTAAATATAAAGCCCTTCCTTTCCCACTATGTTTTGTTGCATCTCAAGCATTTATTTAATGCAAACATGTTAACTATATTTACGTTAATTCATGCAGTCCTCAGAACCAAAGTGTAAGGGTAAATGATTTGCCTGTGTCACAGGGCTTTTACAAATGGAGACTAATCCTGCTGTAACTCAAAGGCCTATGCTCTCTCTACTCTCTTTGCCCCCTATGATCACCCGGTCTTGAATTGTCTGTGTATGTATTCTAACAAAATTTTATTTTGGGACACTGGAATCTTAATTTCTTAGAATTTTTAAAAACTTTTTATTTTTACATAATTTTAGATTTTCATAAAGTTTCAAAACCTTTACAGGATGCACCATTACTGTTGTACATAATCAAAACTAATTGACATTGGTACAATCCATGGATTCCAAAGTCTCATTTACAAGCACATATTTCTCTCTTTCTGTGTGTGTGTGTGTGTGTGTGTGTGTGTCATTCCAAGCAATTTCATCACTTTTGTGTAGCTTTGATAACTATCACTACACACAATATACAGAACAGTTCATCAGTCCATGGCTGATGCTATCTCTTTATAGGCACATTCATCTATTTTCTTACCCATCGCCAACTCCTGGAAGCCACTTATCTTTTCTCCATCTCTATAAATTTGTTAATCTAAGAATATATAAACAGAATAATGCAGTATGTAACCTTTTGCTATTTTTTTCACTCAGTAAAATTCTCCAGAGAACCTTCCTAAGCTGTTGCACACATCAATAGTTCATTTTTCTTGTTATTGCTGTGTAGGACCCTTTGGTATTGATGTACCACAATTTGTTTAACCATTTACCTACTGAAGGGCATTTAGATTGTTTCCAGTCTAGGGCTATTAGGAATATAGTTGCTATTAACATTGATGTACAGGTTTTTGCATGAGCATGTTTTCATTTCTTTGGGATAAATGCCTAACTTCAATTTCTCAGTCATATGGCAAGTACATAGTTTTAAAAATGTGGCTGTACCATTTAACATTCCCACCAGCAACATGAGTAATGCAGTTTATTCACGTTCTGGCAGTACTAATGTTATCACTATTTATTAGCTTAGTCATTATCATGGCATGTAGTGATCTATCATTGTGAAGTTGTTTTTTTTTTTGTCTACTAGCTAATGATGTTGAGAATCTTTTCATATTCTTATTTGCCATCTGTATATCCTCCTCAGTGAAATGCCATTTCATATATTTTGTCCATTTTCAAATTGATTTTTTTACTATTGGGTTTTGAGAGTCATTTATATATTATAGATAGAAGCCCTAGGTCAGACATATGGTTTGCAAATATTTTCTCCCTATGTGTAGCTTGTCTTTTTCATTCTCCTAACAGGGTATTTCTTACTTGAATTATTTCCTAAAAATATCCAGTGAATGTTAATTTTTCTAAGCAACTTTAAACAAGGCCAACTAGTAGAAAAAAACTATAGATTTTACAGTATACTACATTTCTGCTTATAGTTCTCTATATACACAGGTCTCAGATAGCAAAAATTAAATAAGACATATTTGTTTTCCCCAATTTTCCTGCATCTTGTTTCCATAAAAATATTGAAGTGGCTCACAATTATTATTCAAACACCTGTCATACACATTCCATCCCTGGCCTTATCCTTTCCCCCTTTATCCTTTACATATTTGTATTAGGATAAGAACATCCCCTCTTGTGGGTAACCCCCCATATAGGCAATGAGGAAAGACAGCTAAGCAAAATCCTGGCACAATTAGTGCCTGAAGACTATCTCAGTTTATAGTGATTACTACTCAGTTATTTCCTTTTATATAATCCTTTATATATATTAGTTTATAGAATTAGAGCTTAAAGAGTATCTCATTTTACAGTCTTACTACTCAGTTATTCCCATATACATATATATATATATATATATATATATATATATATACCTATATCTTAGTTCATAATTGGAGGAATGCCTAGAGCAGACACAGTACAGAGCATGAATTAAGGAATAAGCAGCTTATAGTTGGAGGAATGTCTAGAGCAGACATAGTGCAGAGCATGATTTAAGGAAAAACAGTTACACCAGGACAATAATCTATGGCTCAGGTGGCAGCATTTAGTACCGTAAAGATACCCTCTGTATGGCAGGCTTAGGGCAAGAGCCACTCCTCCTGATACAGGAGTTGTAGGCCCTTTTGTCCAGTTCTTGTGGAAGGCTGTCCTCAGACTAGCAATCCCTCAAGCACTCTAGGGCTCAAAACCCCTCCAAATAATTGTACCTCGGTGACTGTGAACTTTATCAGCTCTTGTTACTGTGCTAGCTCCAAAGCATCCTCCTATAGAACTCATTGGAAGCTGCCAGCAGGTAGTGGTAGACCCTGACATCTCTGTCACTGCTGTGGGACTTAAGCATCCTCTTACAGTCTTAGGAGTAGCATGTCCTACTGCACACTGCACCCTCTTCACTGCGCACGGCCCACCTCCATGCCTTAGTGACCTAATGGGGGTGGACCTCTTACTACACATGGCCCACCTCCTTTCCTTGATAACCTAATGGGGGTGGACCCCTTGCTGTGCACTGTCTACCTCCTAGCCTAGGTGACCTAATGGGGGTGAACCTCGTTTTATTGCTCACAACCCTATCACTATCCTTAAAAATGACTTCACTCACTACCCTGCCCCTTAACCTATACCCAATAAATAAAGATGCTTCTGGACATTCGGGGCTTCACCTGTGTCCACTTATAGGTGGTGTGGCCCCCCCTGAGCCCAGCTGTACTTACTGGACTTCTGTGTCCTGTCTCTAAGGGACAACCCACGACCCTGTGGGACTCTTAGCCCTACACCTCTCCCTTCTTTTCTGAAACCAAGGGCCTCTCAAGAATAATAGGAGGAAGTTTTTTTTTATTTATTATAAAATTCAAGTTATTTTGCTTAATATAGTATGGGGGATATATGAGGGGACCTTAATCTTCACAGTGCAATGACCTGATTTTTAAAAATAACCCAAGTCCCTGTCCAAAAGCAGAGCAAAACAGAACACTACTAGTTCCAGATACAGAAAAGGAGGGAGAAATTGGAAACCATCTGAGTTGATGGGTTTTCAGAAAGGACTCTGATCAGTGGCCATGATACACCCGGACATCCTAGGATTAAGGCCATGAGCCATAGAAGGAGGTTGAAGGACAAATTAAATAGAAAAAAGAATTTCTAATATCTACAGTCTTGTAGTCTACGTAAGAGTTTGATTATACTACATGAACCTCAAATACAGGATGGATCGAAGTCTCCATTATTCCATGTGATGATGATAAAACAATTTCAAAAAATCCTAAGACCATTTTATAATGAATTCCTTCTTTCCAATGTAAAGGGCATAGTGTTAGTTTGCTTTCTCTTTTGTTAAAATTTACTAGATACTAATTGTTCAGCACTGGCTAGGCATCAAGAACATAAAAATAAATGAGAAGAGTTCCTGCTTTCAAGATATTCCTATTGTGGTAGAAGGAGACTGTGGTAGGTAGAGAGCTACAAAATATAATAGATAATATAGAAGAATGTTAAAAAATGGAATAATCAGTTCTGCCAGGTTGAATAGTAGAGTTATGAGGAAGAGATATTTGAGCTGAGTCTTGATAGATATTTTTTAATGAAATGGTTTTTTTCATAATGAATATGAAACAATTAGAAAAAATGGGAAAATTGAATTTTGAAGGATGAGTTCATCAGGAAAAAGCCAAAGTTTGTAAAGAAATTGTATTCATTCATTCGTTCATATTCATTTAGCAAATATTAATTGCCTCCACTCCAAACTAGATTCCAAGAACCCAACAAATGGTACTTGCCAAACGGAACCTGTCGGCTGGCAGGATAGGATGACGGAGATCAGACAGTTGCCACACAATGTGAAAAGTGCCGTGGAAAAGTGGCATAGGGTGATGTGGTAGCACATGGTTGCCTCTAATCTGGACTGACTGATGACACTGAGATTTACAGTTAGGCTAGGGTCATTTTAAGCACTGCCTTACTGTATTTAACGACATTTCGAAACTTGGAGTGAAAGGAAAAGTCCAGGTGAACTGTAAGAAGCTTCCAGTGATGTGCCTAACTTTGCAAATGAACAAAAATCTAATGTATACATATCCTGGAAACTTCTCAAAGTTTGCCTGCACTTTTCCATTCCAAATAGAGGTTTGGACATTTAACAAATGGAGGCCTCAAAAGGTTATCCTGGTAAGATTTTGTAGATAAAACAGGGGCTTGAAGGAATGTTGATTCCATTCCTCTTGGCCTTCTTTTATGAATCCAGTTCTGTGCTAGCTCAGTGAGTAAATGAAAAATGTCTTCCAAATTTGGATGCTGGAGACTATGATCCAAGATGGCTGATCGCTAACAGCTCGGGATTGTAGCTCCCAGTGAAAGCACAGAGAATGAGAGGACGCCACACTTTCAGACGAATTTTCGTCGCTCATGGACCAGAAGATTCCCAGTGGAGGAGCCCCACGGGTCACCAGCGCAACTCTTGTGGCCAGCACAGCGGTTTTGCCAGCACCTCGGCGTGGCAGCTCTTCCTGCAGAGTAAATAGAAGGAGATTCCCTGGCAGAAGAGCACCATCAGTCTTAACACCGCTGTTTTGGCCGGCACAGTGGGTTGCTCAGATTCCAGTGCTGGGAATCAATAAACTGGATGTCTACTCAGAAACCCAAATAGAAAGGCGGTAATCGTAAAGATGACAGATGGATAAATTTATAACAAAGGGAAGAAACCAGCCTAAAAAGGCTGAGAATACCCAAAATCAGACCCCTCTGCCTCTACAGGGGATTACAGTTCCTCATCAGCAACAGAACAAGCCCTGATGGAAAAGGACTGTGTGTCATTAACAGAAGTAGGCTTCAGAAGGTGGATGATAAGAAACCTCTGGGAGTTAAAAGAACTTGTTCTAACCCAATGTAAAGAAACTAAGAACTTTGAAAAAAGGTTTGACGAAATGCTAACAAGAATAGACAATATAGAGAGGAATATAATTGAACTAATGGAGTCAAAAAACACAATATGAAAACTTAGTGAAATATACACAAGTTTGAATAGCTGAATTGATCAAGCAGAAGAAAGGATATCAGAGGTCGAAGACCAACTTAATGAAATAAAACGAGAAGACAAGAATAGAGAAAAAAAGGATAAAAAGTCTCCAAGAAATATGGGACTATGTGAAAAGACCTAATTTACTTTTGATAGATGTACCTGAATATGACAAAGAGAATGAATCCAAGCTGGAAAATACTCTTCAGGATATTATTCAGGAAAACTTTCCCAATCTAGCAAAGCAGGACAATATTCAACCCCAGGTAATACAGAGAACACCACAAAGACATTCCTCAAGAAGAGCAACCCCAAGGCACATAATCGTTAGATTCACCAGGGTTGAAACAAAGGAGAAAATACTAACGGCAGCCAGAGAGAAAGGTCAGGTTACCCACAAAGGGAAGCCTATAAGACTTACAGTAGATCTTTCAGCAGAAACCCTACAAGCCAGAAGAGAGTGGTGGCCGATATTCAACATCCTTAAAGAACAGAACTTTCAGCCAAGAATTTCATATCCCACCAAACTAAGCTTCACAATTGAAGGAAAAATAAAATCTTTTATGAACAAGCAAGTACTCAGAGATTTTATTACCACCAGGCCTGCTTTACAAGAGCTTCTGAAAGAAGCATTATACATAGAAAGGAACAACCAGTATTAGCCTTTCTAAAAATATACCAAAAAGTAAAGAGCATCAACATAAAGAAGAATTTACATCAACGAATGGGTAAAATAGCCAGTTAACATCAAATGGCAGTAACCCTAAATTTAAGTCGACTAAATCCCCCAATCAAAAGATACAGCCAAAACCTAATGGTATGCTACATTCAGACCCATTTCACATCCAAAGATACACAAAGACTCAAAACAAAGGGATGGAGAAAGATTTACCAACCAAATGAAGATCAAAAACAAATAAATAAATAAAAAGCAGGAGTTGCAATTCTTGTATCTGACAAAATAGATTTCAAAGCAACAAAGATATAGTGGTAAAAGGATCAATGCAACAATAAGAGCTAACGATCCTAACACCTAGATACATAAGACCCATAAAGAGATTTAGACTCAGCGAGACAGAAAATTAATAAGGATATCCAGGACTTGAACTCAGATCCGGAACAAGTAAACTCAATAAATATTTACAGAGCTCTCCATTTTAAATACAAATAATTTACATTTTCCACCTTAAATACACAAAATATTGATTGGCTATTATTAATACCCATTTTTAGAATAAAGCTATATTCCCATTCCCTCTCCCTCTTTTTCTTCCTCTTTCTTCCTCTCCCTCACTCCTTTTTCTTTCTTTCCAAAAACAAAAAATAAAAATAAAATAATTTGGATGCCAGAGTTAAACAGCAAAGCAGCAACAGAACCCATATCAGCTAAGTGTGGAAAAGGAAATATGTACCAGTCACTATATACTTTCATACATTATTTTAATCTCATAACTCTATCAATTCAGATGATGAAACAAGGTTAAAAAATAGAGGCTAAGCACCTGGCTGTCCACGGACACACTGAGCCACAGGAGCACCGGTGCCCTGCGGCAGAGTCCAGGGCTATCCGAGGGTTCGGGCCTTAACGCCTAGGAATGTGCCTTTGGCTTCTGCGTTTCTCGGTCTGGTTTCTTGACGGGACGCCACTGGCTAGCATCGTCCCTGATCCCCAATGCTCAATTCCTGGTAGTTGGGAGGACGAAAAAGGAAATCCCTCTCTGATCGGTCCTCACCACAGCCCTGTACCAGGCCATCACAACGGCGGTCTCCAGAGTCGAAGCGCCTGAGGAGACTCAGGCTGTGTCCCAAACCTCCCACCTCAGGGCTTTCTGGACGTCCCGCCAATTCCCTAGGGCCCTAAGGCGTTAGGCCAACCCCAGGCCTCCACTCGGCCGGACCACTCCCCGCGGCCGGAAGTGGCGGCACCGCGCGCGCGCAGTAAACGCGTGCCGGGCTGCGCAACTTCTGGCGGTTGGTGGGGCCACCGTGTCTTACCTGTCAGCCAGCGCAAGTCCCGGAGGCCCCTCGACAGGAGCATCACCGAGGAGGCGCCTCGCCAGGCGTCCTTCCTGTGCGCTGGGTCCTTTGAACCTAATTTGGCTGGGACTCACCTTCCGGCGGCGCGGAGAATTTCGCGGCCCTGACTTTCCGGAAGTGGGGGCGGTCAAGATGTGCTCGACGCCTGGGCTGCCGGCGCCCGGGGCCTCGCTGGCCCTGCGGGTGTCCTTCGTGGACGTGCATCCCGACGTGATCCCGGTACAGCTGTGGGGACTGGTAGGTGAGCGGCGGGGCGAGTACCTGCAGCTGAGCCGGGAGATCCAGGAGGCGGCGGCGACGCGCGGCCAGTGGGCGCTCGGCAGCGCCTCAGCGTCGCCCGGCGAGCTGTGCCTGGTGCAGGTGGGGCTTCTGTGGCACCGCTGCCGCGTGGTCAGCCGGCAGGCGCAGGAGAGCCGTGTCTTCCTGCTGGATGAGGGCCGCACCATCACTGCCGGCGCAGGCTCGCTGGCGCCGGGGCGCAGAGAGTTCTTCCGCTTGCCCTCGGAGGTGCTGGGTTGCGTGCTGGCGGGCCTGGTACCGGCAAGCTGCGGCGCAAGCGCGGGCGAACTGCAGCACTGGCCCACCGACGCCGTGGACTTCCTGAGCAACCTTCAGGGCAAGAAGGTGCACGGGTGTGTCCTGGACGTGCTGCTGCTCCATCGCCTGGTCCTCCTGGAGGTGCCCGAAGTGTTCCAACAGATGGCGGAGCTGGGCCTGGCTCGGAGGGTACCCGACAGCCTCTTCCGTTCGCTGCTGGAGCGCGCTCTCTCAGCTACCACTGCTAGCGTGGGCGCCGCCGGGGTTCCGGTTCTCTCTCGAGTCCTGCCCAGGCAAAAACAGCCTGGCCTGGATTACTTCTATCCCCAGCTGCAGTTGGGCGTGACGGAGCCTGTGGTCGTAACCCAAGTGTGCCATCCCCACCGCATTCACTGCCAACTCCGCAGCCTCTCACAGGAGATCCGTCGCCTCTCTGACAGCATGGCCCAGGTATACCAGGGTTCCACCGGAACAGGGGATGAGAACTCTACTAGCCTCACCTGGGAGGAGAGGGAGGAGAGTCCAGACAAGCCGGGCTCTCCGTGTGCATCCTGTGGCCTGGATGGACATTGGTATAGAGCGCTCTTGCTTGAGACTTTTCGGCCTCAGCGCTGTGCCCAGGTGCTTCACGTGGACTCTGGAAGGAAAGAGTTAGTGAGTTGCAGCAGCCTTCGATACTTGCTGCCTGAATATTTTCGAATGCCAGTGGTGACTTACCCTTGTGCTTTGTATGGACTCTGGGACAGTGGGAGAGGCTGGTCTCGGTCACAGGTCGGTGACCTGAAGGCACTGATACTGGGCCAGGCAGTGAATGCAAAGATTGAATTTTATTGCTCCTTTGAGCATGTATATTATGTCACCCTGTATGGAGAAGATGGGATTAATCTGAACCATGTGTTCGGAGTACAGTCGTGTTGCTTGGCTGACCGAGTCCTTCAGAGCCAGGGAACAGAGAAAGAGGAAACAGAAACATCTCCTCAGTCTCAGTCTCCTGCTGAAGAAGTAGATGAAGAGATTTCACTCCCGGCCTTAAGATCTATCAGGTTAAAGATGAATACCTTCTATGATGCGCAGGTAGAGTTTGTTAAAAACCCTTCTGAGTTCTGGATTAGGTTGAGGAAACACAATGTCACCTTCAGTAAGCTGATGAGGAGAATGTGTGGTTTCTATTCCTCTGCCAGTAAGCTGGATGGTGTAGTTTTGAAACCTGAACCTGATGACCTTTGCTGTGTCAAGTGGAAAGAAAATGGCTATTATAGGGCCATAGTCACCAAATTGGATGACAAGAGTGTGAATGTATTCCTAGTTGACCGAGGCAATTCGGAAAATGTGGACTGGTGTGACATAAGGATGCTGCTTCCTCAGTTTAGGAAGCTACCAATATTGGCTCTGAAGTGCACCCTAGCTGATATTTGGCCTTTAGGAAAAACTTGGAGCCAAGAGGCAGTTTCCTTTTTTAAAAAGACTGTGCTCCACAAAGAATTAGTCATCCATATTCTTGATAAACAGGATCATCAGTATGTTATTGAGATTCTTGATGAATCAAGAGCAGGGGAAGAAAACATTAGTAAGGTAATTGCCCAAGCTGGATATGCCAAGTATCAGGAATTTGAAACAAAGGAAAATATCCCAGTAAATGCCCACTCCCCAGGGCACATTTCAAATCATTTTACTGTGGAGAATAACAAAATATCTTCTGCCAAGACAGGAGAAGGAGAACAGAAAGCCAAGGGAGAGAATAAAGCTACATCTGTTTCGAAAGCTTTGAGTGACACAACAGTTGTGACAAATGGTTCAACTAAACTGGTTGTTCGGGAAAAAGAGAAAAGAGCATCTGTTTATTTTCCTCCTATACAGAATTTATTGGAAATTAAGCCAGGCTCTTCTAGTAAAGGAGAGCTGGAAGTTGGAAGTACAGTAGAAGTTAGAGTGTCTTATATTGAAAACCCTGGCTATTTCTGGTGTCAGCTGACCAGGAACATACAAGCACTTAAAACTCTAATGTCTAATATTCAGGACTATTGCAAAAATACAGCTGCTCCTTACCTGGGAACCACCCGTGCTTGTTTGGCTAAGCGAACGGTAAACAGACAATGGTCCAGAGCTCTCATTACTGGGATACAATCTGTGGAGCATGTTAGTGTAATATTTGTAGATTATGGGGACAGAGAAATGGTATCTGTGCAGAATATTTATTCAATTAGCGAAGAGTTTCTCAAGGTTAAGGCTCAGGCTTTTAGGTGCAGTCTTTATAATATAATTCAACCAACTGGCCAAAATCCTTTTGTTTGGGGTGAAAAGGCAATACAAGCTTTTAATGAATTTGTAGATAATGCATGGCAAACAAATCTAGAATTAAAATGTACAATATATGCTCTGGCTTCAATTAATGATGAAGAACTATTTAATGTTGTGGATTTGCTAACACCCTTTCAGAGTGCATGCCATTTCTTGGTAGAAAAGAGACTTGCGAGACCAGTAAAACTTCAGAAGCCTCTGGAGTCCTTTCTTCAGCTACATTCTTACTTCTATTCTACGCACGATATGAAAATTGGAAGTGAAGAATTAGTGTATATAACACATGTTGATGACCCTTGGACATTTTATTGCCAGCTGGCAAGAAATGCAAATATTTTAGAACAGTTGTCATGTAGTATTATACAATTAAGTAAAGTTTTGCTGAATTTAAAAACATCTCCTTTGAACCCTGGAACTTTGTGCCTTGCCAAGTATACTGATGGAAATTGGTACAGGGGCATAGTAATAGAGAAAGAGCCAAAGAAAGTCTTCTTTGTTGATTTCGGGAACATTTATGTAGTAACAAGTGATGATGTGCTTCCAATACCTAGTGATGCATATGATGTCTTACTTTTGCCCATGCAAGCTGTCAAATGTTCATTATCTGATATTCCTGATCTTATACCAGAAGAAGTTGTGGTGTGGTTTCAGGAGACTCTTTTAGATAATTCTTTCAAGGCTTTAGTTGTAGCAAAAGATCCAGATGGAACACTAATTATAGAACTATATGATGACAATATTCAAATTACTGCTAGTATTAATAAGAAGTTAGGGCTACTTAGTTACAAAGATAGAAAAAAGGAAAGTGAACTGCTCCTCTCTGCAACTGAAACTCTTGCAGAAAAAAATGCGAATATGAAATTGCCATGTACAGAGTATTTAACTCAATCAGGGAACAAGTTACATGGTAAAGAGATGTTGAAAGAGTCATATACACCTAAGATCAACTCATCATACAAGGAACTCAAACTTTTACAAAGTTTAACAGAAACAAACTTAGTCACTCGATATCAAGTCAATGTGGGAAATAAAAATTGTCAAGTCTTCCCATTAACAACAGAAAAGAAAGAAATTTCTGCTGAGCCATCCTTGAAAACAGAAGGAGTAGAAACCACTCTTTCAGAGAGAAAAATAGGAGATTCATGTGACAAAGATTTTCTTCTGAAATTTCATGAGTTCCCACAGAAGACTATAATGCCTGGCTTTAAAACAACTGTGTATATTTCTCATGTAAATGACCTATCAGACTTTTATGTTCAACTAATAGAAGACGAATCTGAAATTTATCATCTTTCAGAGAGATTAAACAGTGTTGAAACAAGGCCCAAATCTTATGCAGGTCCACCTTTGCAACGAGGAGATGTGATTTGTGCTATTTTCCCAGAAGACAATTTATGGTACCGTGCTGTGGTCAAGGAGCAACAACCCAATGACCTTCTCTCTGTGCAGTTTATAGATTATGGCAATGTTTCTGTGGTTCATATTAACAAAATAGGTAGACTTGACCTTGTTAATGCAGTATTGCCAGGATTGTGTATTCATTGCTCCTTGCAGGGATTTGGGGTTCCTGACAATAACAATTCCAAGAAAATGATGCATTACTTTTCCCAACGGACCAGTGAGGCTGTAATAAGTTGTGAATTTGTTAAATTTCGAGACAGATGGGAAGTTATTCTTGCTGATGAACACGGGACCATAGCAGATGATATGATTAGCGGGAACGCTCTCAGTGAAAAATCTCAAATAGAACTTTCTGCCCAAGTAATTAAAGGTGCCAGTTCAAAGTCCGTTAACAAATTAGACATTGACACGTCAGTATTTCTTAACTGGTATAATCCAGAAACAAAAATGGTAAGAGCTTATGCCACTGTGATAGATGGACCTGAGTATTTTTGGTGTCAGTTTGCTGATACCGAGAAACTTCAGTATTTAGAAGTAGAAGTACAGACTGCTGGAAAACAGGTAGAAGACAGGAGAAATTGTATCCAGTGTCCTCATATTGGAGATCCTTGTATAGTAAGATACAGAGAAGATGGACATTATTATAGGGCACTTATCACTAATATTTATGAAGATTATTTTGTATCTGTCAGGCTTGTGGACTTTGGAAACATTGAAGACTATGTCGACCCAAAAGCACTCTGGGCCATTCCTTCTGAACTTTTGTCGGTTCCCATGCAAGCCTTTCCATGTTGCCTCTCGGGATTTAACATTTCAGGAGGCTTATGCTCTCAAGAGGGAAATGACTATTTCTATGAAATAATAACAGAGGATGTGTTGGAAGTAACAATATTAGAAATCAAAAGGGATGTTTGTGATATCCCTTTAGCAACTGTCAACTTGAAAAGCAAAGGTAAAAGTATTAATGAGAAAATGGAGAAATATTCTAAGATTTGTATTACTAAGAGTACTCTTCCCTATGAAAATACTGGCTCAGAGATAAAGCAGGCTCTTGGGTCCTCCTGTCTTGATGTAGGACTTAAGAAATTAAGTAATAAAGTTGTACAAAATAAAACGTCATATATGGAACCACAAACAGATGAGCTTGCTGAAAGAACTGAAAAAGATGTAAACATTACTGAAACCAAACCAGGTAACTTCCGTGACCCTAAAACTGTTAACATTTGTGAAAGTTTTGAAAACCCCTGCAAAGATAAAATTGATGCTGAGGAGCTGGAACCTGAAATAGAGTGCCATCTAATTGACAAAGCAAAGTTTGATGATAAATACCTAATTACAGGATCTAACACGTTACTGCCACATGCTAATGAAATAAAGGAGATACTAGAACTGAATTCACTTGAGGTGCCACTTTCCCCTGATGATGAATCCAAAGAATTCTTAGAACTGGAATCTATTGAGTTACAGAATTCTCCGGTGGTGGATGAAAAAAAAGAGGAGTTAAGCCTCATGCCACCGAGTGTGCTGCTTTCCCAAGACCATGCCACAGAAGGCACCCTGGAGCCATTCATAGTGCAGTTTCCTCTCGGCTGTGAAACTGAGAAACAGCCAGAACTAGAACTACCTACAGCCCAGCTGCCTCTAGATGACAAGATGGATTCTTTGTCTTTAGGAATTAGTCAGAAAGCACAAGAATCCATGTGTGCTGAGGACATGAGAAAGTCAAGTTGTGTGGAATCTTTTGATGACCAGCAGCATCTACAAGGAGCAGATTGTGATCCTAAAACACAGATTAAAATGAATATATATGAAGAAGAATTTATAGAGTGTAAAAACAAGGAAGCCATTTCAGCATTGATGCCTTTCTTCTCTGAGGAAGAAAGCAGTGATGGAAGGAAGCACAATAATGATTTACCAGATCATGTCTCAGGTACGTGAAATTTTTTCCCCCTTTTACTCTTTTTTTGAGGCAGGATCTTGCTCATTCACCTAGGCTGGAGTGCAGTGGTGCAATCTTGGCTCACTTGCAGCCTCTGGCTCCCAGGCTCAAGTGGTCCTCCCACCTTAGCCTCCCAAGTAGCTGGGACTAGGCATGTGTCACCATACCCAGGTAAATTTTTTATTTTTTGTAGAGACGGGTAAATCGTGTTATCCAGGCTGTTCTCGAACTCCTGGGCTCAAGCAGTCCTCCTGCCTCAGCCTCCCAAAGTGTTCTTTTAAGTTTAACGTAGTTACTTTCCAAAGTTGTTATTTCTTTTAAAGGAAGGAGAATGATTCTTATGTGGATTTCCAAAAAATAATTTTTTGTAGGAATAATTAAAAACCTGGGAATTGAATCAGATTGGATTTTATTAAGCGCATTTTAAACTTGGGGAAAATATATTTGTGAAATGAGTGCCAAATAGTATATGCTAGAAGAAATGCTGAAATATTAATTTTGTGTTTAAAAATTGAATCCTTAAAATCTGTGAGTCTCTAAAAGGTAATCACATTTAGAATGTAATCACATTTATAATCAAGAGGGTATGTGTTGTTAAGTTTTATAAAACTTGGTATTCCCTTGCCAAGCACTACTACAGGCATAAATTTACAGTAGGGATTATTTAACAGGGTCTTTTAGACTTAACTATGCCATGCATTGATCTTGCAATTCATTAGAAACCCTCAAACAAAAAAATTAATTTAGGGAGCCTATATTAATCAAAAAAGTTGTCATGAGTAAATCTTGGAGAACATCTATTATATTAACTTTTTAATAAATAATTTTTGTTGCTGTTTTCTTTGCTACTTAAGAGTTGTTACATTAAATGGGTAACTAGCTTTTTATAATCAATGCTATACATTTGCAATTTTTATATTATTAAATTTGAACCAATGTACAAAATAAGGAAAATATAGAACAGTGAGAATGAAAATCACCAAGAAGTGACCAGTGTTAACACCATGTGTTTTCCTTTTGTTGTCCTTTACCCTCCTTGTATGTCTACTACATGCAGTTTTAAAAACAATTTAGATTGTACTATCATACAGTATTGAATCCTGAATTTTAATCCCTTAAAAGTGTTTTCAAAATATTTTTTTTGCATTGTATTCCATCCTGTGGGTACACTTAAGTTATCTAAGTATTAGCCTTGCATTAGATATTTATTCCTCATTGTTATATTTTAATAATAGTGTTAACTCTGTGATAAGAATGCTCACTTGCAACGTGCTGCTTTGCTATATAAATGGCTGTTGTAAGTACAGAAAACATCACTTGTCTTAACAGTACCGTATTTTAGTAGTGATTTTCAATGTTAGAAATCAGATTCACATCCTGATGATGGTGATTTTTTGTTTGGTTGGTTGGTTGGTTTAGGAAAGCAGTAAGAGATTATATGGGGAGGGGCACTGGAAGAATTTTAAATAAAATTGAGGGAGACACATACCAGTGTACTAATTACATGATATTGATGATATAGAAATAATGCAGATTAGGAAAATGCTTTGCTTGTGTATGTTACATTAAGGAATTAAGAGATATGCATTGAGTCTTACGCAGTTCAATTTGGCAGCTCAACCACAGAACACCTACCCTCTGAAAGCCTTTACTGTTGGATCTAAATGTGTTGTGTGGTCAAGTCTAAGAAACACATGGTCTAAATGTGAGATTTTAGAAACAGCTGAAGGAGGAACAAGGGTAAGTGACGTTTAAGTACTTTATCTCCAATTGTATTTGCAGACTGTTAAGGAAATTTTACCAGACTCTGTCAGACTAGAGAATATGATTGAACAAATGTTTACCTGCTTATTTCCCCTGATAATTTGATGTAATGCACAAATATTTTTAATAACCATATATAAGAATCCTAGCAAGAAATCATCCTAGGCTGTTTCGTCTATTTCTCTTGCCCTTTCTGAATTCTGTTAGTCACCTAGTTCTGCACTTTACATATCTTGTCTCTTAGTTGGAACTTTTTATATCTAATGCCAGTACCTTAGTTGAGTCATTTCACAACTACATTACTCTAATAACCTATTTGGTTTACTTCTTCTAGTCTTCCTTAAATTGATTGTCCACAGTGTCAGGGTGAAGTTTGGCAATTGCAAATCTGACTACATCCAGGAGATTCTGTTTCTTCTGTAATTTGAAAACCACCTGTTTCAGAATTACCTGGTGTATTTTTTAAATTTTATTATAGATTCCTAGGCCTTGGCCTGGCCTGCTGATTCAGAATTTCTGGGATTAGGATTCCAGGATGTGCATTTATATTTCATTAAAATTGGAGAGCCACTGGCCTGGAACATTTAAGTCAAGCTCATTAACATGGCATAGGAAGTCCTTCAGGGTTAAGTGTTTATGTACTCTCTTTGGCCCTAATTCTTCATATTTTGTACTTTATAGTAAATGGACATCAAAGTGCTTGGCTTCTTTTATGTATACTATCTGCTTGCTATTACAATTTATTTAATAATGCAGTTCTGTTTTACCTATATTCCCTCCTGTTACCAAACTGGTTAAGTCCAATTTACTTAGCCATTGCCTCTACCAGGGAGTATTCACTGACATTATTTTCTAAATTCATCCTTGTCCTCAACCTTCTCACCTCCCCGCAAAAAAAATTTTTTAAAAGCCTTATTTCCATATTACATTCCTACACCCCCTATTACATATTCTGTACTTCCTATAGTTTATTGTAATTATCTATTTAGAGGTCTTTTCTACACTAGATTTTGAACTATTTTGATGTTGAAATTGTATCTTTGATCGCCAGTCATAGATACTCTATATATGTTTGGGAAACTGAAGTAGCATGGTGTTTGAAACATAAGATTGAAGTTCAATAAAATCATTTTAATTGTCTTTTAAAGTATTTCATTTTAGGGCCAGGTGTGGTGGCTCATGCCTGTAATCCCAGCACTTGGGAGGGCAACACAGGTGGATCACTTGAGCCAAGGAGTTGGAGACCAGACTGGAGGCAGCATAGTGAAATTCTGTCTCCACCAAAAATACAAAAAAATAGCTGGGGGTGGTGGGTGTGCACCTGTAGTCCCAGTTACTCAGGAGGCTGAGGTGGGCAGATCTCCTGAGCCCAGGAGGTCGAGGCCACAGTGAGCTGTGACCATGCCACTGCCCTCCAGCCTGGGCAATAGAGCAAGACTCTGTCTCAAAATAATAATATAATAATAATAATTATTATTATTAGTTTTAAAATCATTGCTCTGGTACATAAATCAGTTTCATTTTTTGAACTGGACACTTAAAACAAAGTTACGTTTTCTTCTGTAGGTTTTGAACCTTTCAAATGGTATGGAGGAGATAGTGAACCCTGAGAATGTCTGGAATTGCATACCCAAATTAGATAAGAGTCCACCTAAGGTATGGAATTCTATAAATAGAAATTAGTGAGAGCATTGTTCTTCATTTTGAAAGGTGATTTAAGAAACTATTTCCAAAGCCCTTGTGTTTGGAAAAAATGAGAAGAAAAATCCTGTAACAATATTTAAAACAGCAATAACAAAATCAATGATTTTCCTCTTTATGCCAAGTATTCTTTTGAGAAAATTAGTTATTAATGTTTTACTCCTTGATTAGAAGATTTTTCAAAGTTCATGAGTCTTATAAAATGCATATGAGATGCAGAAAACCTTGGAAACATAACGATATTAAAAATGAGAAAGTAATAATCACCTGTAATACACCCATCCAGAGAGAAATGGGTTGACCAGTTTGGTTTTCTTTTATAATTTTTCTGTTTATATGGAATATAAGTATTTCATCTACATATTTTAGACACAATTGATTTCATCCTATGTATAGTTTTATATTGTTTTTCTTCATTTAAAACTGTATGGTGGGCAATTTACTGTGACATTGTGATGTGCTTGACATTTGAGTTTATCCTGTTTGGGGTTTGTTGAACTTCTTGAACTTCTCACTTCACAATCTTTGTCTGATAGTTTCAATATCTGGTCATCTTGGGGTTTGCAGCTGTTGATTTTCTTTCTCCATAGAGAAATTGTCAGCTTTCCTTGGTTCTTTGGAACCAAGTAGGTGGTCAGCTGGTTTCAATTCATAACACATGTTCTCTTTCTCCTTCTGTAGTTGGTGATTCTCCTGTCAGTTTAGTTTTCAAAGCCTTTGCTATGTTGTTCAGGTCTTCCCAGTACATAAGCCACCCAGGGTAGTCAGGGACTTTGGTCAGTGGTTTATATAGTAGTTAGGTGTCGAAGACTTTGCTGTGCTTATTTGGCTCTGTTCTACATGTGCATAGTTCAGGGGCAATCCGGAGACTTGTAGTTCTTAGGTAGCCTTAGGAGTTAAACATTTTCAACTCCTTTCCTCTCTAAGATTTCCTCCACATTTCCTGGCACCCAGGATCCTCTTCTATCAAGCCTCTAATGGTCTCCCTTTTTCTGGTCCCCTAGCCAGACAGTATTTTTCTCTCAACCTCTGTTCCACCACACAGTTCTGTTTGAGCTTGCCTTAAGACTAAAGCAGATAGAGAAAAGAGAGGACAAAAACAATCTCCTCCGATTACTCTCCAGATGACAGAAAGCTCTTTTTCTGGTTCCACTGGCTAGAGAGACGGGTCATCTCTCACATTTGTAGGTAACTGTGTTGCCATAGATGTCACCCTGGGGCTAGCCACCCTCAGGGCATGGCCAGAAGAAAAATAGAAAAAAAAAAAAATACCACAATTCAGCAAAGGGATTTCTTACTCTCTAGCATTCAGGGTTCCTTTATCCCTAGTCCTCTGGCTATAAATAAGAAATTTCTTGGCCGGGCGTAGTGGCTCATGCCTGTAATCCCAGCACTTTGGGAGGGCAAGGCGGGTGGATCACGAGGTTAGGAGATGAAGACCATCTTGGCCCACATGGCAAAACCCTGTCTCTACTAAAATATATATATATATACACATAAAGATTAGCCGGGCATGGTGGTGCATGCCTGTAGTCCCAGCTACTCAGGAGGCTGAGGCAGGGGAATCACTTGAACCCAGGAGGCAGAGGTTGCAGTCAGCCGAGATTGTGCCACTGCACTCCATCCTGGGCAACAGAACAAGACTCCGTCTCAAAAAAAAAAAAAGAAAAAAAAAATTTCTCTCAAGAGTTTTACTGTCTACTGTAGTTGGGCAGTTTTGACTTGGCCCACCCTCCGAACAAAATCTGGAGACAAGTAAAAAAAGAAAAGGAAACTCACTCCTGTTGTGAGTCATTATTAAAGTTTTTTACTTTAATTCTCAGTCTACCTGTTCCTGTTCATTTTGGAGTCTTTGAGTAATTTTTTATATTCTATCTAGAATTTTTCATTGTAATCAGTGAAAGAAAGAGGTTATAGTCAGCTTATTCCATCTTGGCTGTAGCCAGAAGGTCATAAACAATATTTGATAGCTGAATAATGCTGCATGACAGTAGTGAGCCATAATGTATTAAATCATTTCCTATATAGTATTGGATATTTAGGTCGCTTGCAATTTTTACTATTAAAAATCATTGAACATCTCTTAACCTTATGTTAGTTACTTTTTTGCTTATGTCAAAAGTAACAATCTAATACACTTTTTGCACCAGTATTTACTAAAATGTTTTTTACATTCGGGTTGTCTCCATCCATTAGTTATGAAGAATCCGCAGCGAAATGCATACATATGTACATATAAGATTCAGTTTGGGGGCCGGTCGCGGTGGCTCAAGCCTGTAATCCCAGCACTTTGGGAGGCCGAGGCAGGTGGATCACGAGGTCAAGAGATGGAGACCATCCTGGATCAACATGGCGAAACCCCATCTCTACTAAAAATACAAAAAATTAGCTGAGCATGGTGGCGCGTGCTTGTAATCCCAGCTACTCGGGAGGCTGAGGCGGGAGAATTGCTTGAACCCAGGAGGCAGAGGTTGCGGTGAGCCGAGATTGCACCATTGCACTCCAGCCTGGGTAACAAGAGCGAAACTCCATCTCAAAAAAAAAAAAAGATTCAGTTTGGATAAAGTTCCCTATGCCTGCCACATAGAAAAGGACTATTTAGGACTATTTAAAGTAGACATAAAATAATATATCTAGATAAATAAATAAATACATAACTACCTCTGGCTTTGACTAAGCCACTTAGCAGACATATAGAAACTACTAATGAGTAAGGCTCTAAAAATTTTTATTTGATTACTAATGGGATTTAAATATCTTTCCCTCAAATTTGAGGAAGCTCTTAAATCAGAATACCTGTCTACAAATCAGCTAGTTTTCCTTACAAACTGAATACTGTATTATGCATGACTTTTTTTAATGATACATCAAGTCACTATGATCTAGGAATCTAATTACTTTTTTAAAAAGTTTGGTGTCTTATATGAGATATTGTATTTTACCATAAGAATATCTTATTAGTTTCTGTATCACATAATGCATGTCTACATGATGCTATTAGTTATTAAAAGGAATATAGGAGAAATATTTCCCTTTTCATTGTTCTCTAATAAAGCACATGTGGCTCTATGTGGATACTATGTTTGAGTAGCATCCCCTTGAACAATGATGTCCCTCCCTCCTTCACCAATTACCAGAGTTGTTGGGGGTTTGGGAGCTAAAAATTGGAAAAGGGCACTTTACTCCATGTGTAGAATGCTCCAGGACTATGTTCTAGAGAAATGAGTATTTGAAGAATAGAAAACGAACTTCACGTGATTCTTCATTATAAAATCAGATTTTCATAATTTTGATAGAAATACATTTTATTGTTTACATATTTTCTCATTTTATCTGTGGTTCCATTTTGGATTTAAATTATTTTGTACTTATAACAAAGAATCAATAGTAATTCAAAGGTTCCTTTTGTTAGGATGTATCCCAAAGAGTAGGAAAAGATGTTTACTTCATGTCGTCGGATGATACCACAATGAAAGGTAACTTGTGTTTTTAAAACAAAATACTTTTATCACCTGGAATTACCAAGTCTTAAAAATATTGTTATGCTATAAGGACATATGCACACAAATGTTCATTACAGCACTGTTCATAACAGCAAAGACCTAGAACCAACCCAAATGCCCATCAGTGATAGACTGGACAGGGAAAATGTGATACATGTACACCATGGAATATTATGCAACAGTCAAAAACGATGAGTTCATGTCCTTTGTAGGGACATGGATGAACCTGGAAACCATCATTCTCAGCAAACTGACACAAGAACAGAAAATCAAACACCACATGTTCTCACTTATAGGTGGGTGTTGAACAATGAGAATACATGGACACAGGAAGGGGAGCATCACACACCAGGGTCTGTTGGGGGAAATAGGGGAGGGACAGCAGGGGGTGTGGAGCTGGGGAGAGATAGCATGGGAAGAAATGCCAGATATAGGTGATGGGGAGGAAGGTAGCAAATCGCACTGCCATGTGTGTACCTATGCAACAATCTTGCATGTTCTTCACATGTAACCCAAAACCTAAAATGCAATAAAAATAAAATAAATTAAAATAATAAAGCAGTAATTTTTAAACAAAACAAAAAAAGATAAAAATCACAAACACATTTTAAAAGGCTTTTTTTTTTGCTTTATTTAAATCTTGCTTTATTTAAAAGGTCATGCTACAAATGTGTTTACATTTTTACAGTTACATGATACAAACTGTCATATTTTTTTAATATCAAAAACAATGGTCCACAGAAGAAAGAAACAATTAACTCTAATTCCTTAGGATAAATACCCAGGAATTAAATAGCTAGGGCAGACCTAGTTCAATACCGAAAGTCCTTCCAAAAACCAAATGGTTGCCAACTTATGTCCAGTAGCATTATAACATTCTTGAGCCAATAGTGTAAAAATACCCTGACAAATTTATAGGCAAAGATTACTCAAATACAGATGCTACAACAGTGGGGCTACATCCTGGTAAACCTGTAAGTTGAAACTATCAAGTTAAAATGCATTTGAGTACCCTGATAAACGTTTCATAAAGTTGAAAATTTGTAAGTCAAACCAGTGTAAGTCGGGCCATCTCAAAATATGTGTGTATATATAGTTAATGCTGAACCCCTCAAACAAAAATGGTTTATCAATTTTTTTGGACGGAAGTAGTAGGGAAGAAAAACCACTTTAGGTAAAAAAAAAAAATGTTTAAATATACTTATGGGAATATATAACCAAGATGAGGATTTCTTGAAATATAGGAAATTTGTTAATTGAATTAATCTTGAAAGTTAAATTATGAATATGATAAATTCATATTTTAAAGAATTTTCTCTGTTAACTAGCTCGTATGTTTAAATGATCTTTGTTAAATAATCTCTTGGAATTTCTGACTCTTTAGTTTACATAAGATTCAAATTATTGGCTGGTTCTTGGTATTGCACATTCCTGTTCATACTTAATGCAGTGATTCTTAGAATTGAGGCACATTGAGAATAAAATCAGCTCATGGTAGCTTTAGTATCATGTGAAAATACACACCAATCAAAAAGGACAAAGAACCAATTGATTATCAGCCTTCATAACACCATTTTAGCAAAATATAAAATAAGCCAATTTCATGATTTTTTAGAGAAACTTGATGATTTGATGGTACAGTGTGAGAACTAAAATATTAAGAAGAAAATAAAACATTATTTCTATAGATATAATGCCCTATAGTAATTAGAATACTCATCTGTTCCCCCCCTTTTAGAGAATATTACATTTGTCATGGTAACACACATGTAAATAATTTCTTTTGTTTGTATGTTTCTTTCTCAGTTTGAAGTTTTTCTTTTTTTTGTTTTAGAAAAGGGGTTTCGAAGTGATGGAGATTTAACTGTGGATCTGTAGCTGTGGCCAATCAGTCAGAAGCTGCTCTTGAACAAGTGGCATCTTACCCAGACCAACAGAGTATTTGAGAAACTGGAAAACATATAACCACAAGAAGCTGTCATTTTCAAAAACTTTTATATAGGTGGAAAACAAAATAGGTCTCAGGTTGACTGTGGAGTCTATTTATAGTGATACTGTTGTATATATGGATCTGGGATCTTTCCTTTGCCTTTTATTTTCTTATGTTTCTAATTCGTTAGGAGGATTTATTTTGCTAAACAGTTTACTAAGACATTACATTTCAAAAAACTGTTTTGGGCCAGGCTTGGTGGCTCACTCCTGTAATCCCAGCACTTTGGGAGGCCGAGGTGGGCAGATCACTTGATGTCAGGAGTTCAAGACCAGCCTGGCCAACATGGTGAAACCCTGTCTCTACCAAAAATATAAAAAATTAGCTGGATGTGGTGGTGCACACCTGTAATCCCAGCTATTTGGGAAGCTTAGGCAGGAGAATCACTTGAACCCAGGAAACAAAAGTTGCAATGAGCCAAGATTGTGCCACTGCACTCCAGCCTGGGTGACAGAACAAGACTCTGTCTCAAAAAAATAAAAAATATTTTGGTACCTTTCAAATACAGTGTTTAAGTTAAAACAGAAAAATATAGCCTCATGACAAGTACATTAGTTGATACTACTTAGGAGGATAGCGTTTTAGCAGTCTCTCCTTCAGAATTTTTGTCTTGATTTTGAAACTTTACCTGTTTGTCTAAACATCTGACAACATTGTTTGAATTTGGAAGTATTCTAATACAAGATTTGAATAAAGTTTATCCTTAAATAAAGTTTATCATTAATGTGATGGTCTTATTTTATTAAAAAGGAAGTCAAACTCTTGAACATATTTGGTTCCTTCTCTCCTCTATAATAGAGGATTGGGGAAAGCATGATAATAAATGTAAGCTCTTACATATTAGTCACTTGTACTTTAAATGTATTTTTTCACTTTAATCATCAACTTTGAGGTACATAATAATATTATCCACATTTTATAGGTGAGAAAATTGAAGCTTCTTAGAGAAATTAAATAAGTTGCCTAAGGTCAGCCAGCTAGTGAGTCTCAAAGGCATGGTAAAACCCAGACCTACATAACTTTAAAGCCTGTGACTTTAAACATGATTTTGCAAAGTATAGATCTTAGTTTCTGAAAACAGAGTTTAGCTATATACTGCTTAACAGATATGTGACATGGGAAAATTATGTAATATTTTGGGCTTTGATCTTCTCCATCTGTAAAGTGGTGGTAATAAAATCTTTCTTGCAGTGTTTTGGAAATAATTGATGTAAAGTCCCTGAAAAGAAGTAGGCATTTGGTAAATGTTTCTTTCTTTTTTCTGAAAAATACTCATTGTGCACTATGCTAGGTTATTTCTTTTTAACCTTATTAGATATTTTCAATAGTAATTTTCTCCTTTCAGCATCAGCATGGGCCACCAACAAAAGACTTAAAAAGAAAAAAGTATTGAATGGGACATCCATACAGTTGAAATGTTTATTTCTATAATGAATAGGGAGAAGGTTTGCTGAATGAGACTGGGGTAAATGTGTGTGTCTGTGAAGCATTATCAGATTCTGAAGCCTAATGGAAATAGAGTTATGAACCTTAAAAACTGGGTATGATTTCAGTAAGTAGAAAGGAGACGGTTTTGTATTTAAAGTAATTGAGGTAAATGAGTATATTACTTATTCCTGGGATAATGAATAGATAAGTTTGGCTTACTCATATAGACAATATAGTGTGAATTGCCAGGAGCAAAGCTCAGAGAAGATGCATTAGGGTCAGATTATAGAATGCCTTCATTTTCAAGCTGAGTTTAGCTCTCTATTTTAAAAAATTTAATCAATGGATACAGAAGTCAGATTTCTCAGAATGAGTGACTTTTCACCTGAAACCAATAAGATAGGACTAAGGTACCAAATGAGTGGTATACATTTTTATATCCCTTTAGGAAATAAAATCATTTTCCATGATTCCCATATTTATAAGTGTATAAACTCTTAAGCTATATTTTTACCTCCATTTAATCATGTCATTCTGTTTTACCACTACATATAGAATTGAACACATTAAATAAAATTATTGAAATATGAAGAAGCTAAATGTAATTCTGAATGTTTTATCCTTCACAGCCTTTGTGTCAGTAACTAATGTATTATAACTGGAATCCCTACTGAAAGCTATAATACCAATGAAACCTTTCATTAGTAAGTAGAATGCCTTAAAGAATAAAGAAAATGCCCAAAATTACCGATTTTCTCTAATCCATTACCTTCATCTTATCTCCAGTATTCTTAACCCTTCTCTACCCCTCATTTAGTCATGATTTGAAATTTTGGGATACCACCAATCCTGTGCTAAAACAATGGCTTTTGCTTGATCTAATTTTTGTTACCATGACCAGAAGTCAAAGAGAAGTGCTGCCAAATTCTACTTAAAATATCATGCTGCTAAAACTAACCCTACTGCCCAGAATAGAGAATAAAAGGCAAGAAATTTGTTTTTTACTGTATGTTTAGGGAGTCTTGTATCATTGCAACAGTTTTCCACTGGCATTTTGCCTGTTTTAACCTACTTGTCTATCAAAGTAATGTAAAAGCAGTTTTTAACTTTGACACTAAAAAGGAATCATCTTAGTAAAATTAAAATTTAGGTTGATATGAATATTGTATACTGTATTCTTTACATGTAAAGGGAAAAAAATCTTAGCCCAAGCTTCAATCACCATTATAGTATCACCTATATTTTAAAATGAGTCCTTTGGAAAAATACATTAAAAGTCTCTCTCTTTCTCTCATGTACACATATACACATAATTTTAGACAGTTTTAGAACAAGACTTTAACAAAATCCCTTTAATCCTATTTCTCTATTCCTGAAGAGTTCTGTAGCATGATGTGTGGATTGGTTGTGTTAATATTGGTCCCTGGGATAAGATTCTGATCATCTCCTTCAATCAAGTGGTCCCACTGATCAAAATCTTTATGAAGTCCTGTAAAATATAAAGCATTAATGAACATATTAAACTTTTGAGTGCATTAAACAATTTGGTGCCCCTAGGTGGCAATACAGACTTAGGAATTACACAAGTTGCATCAGGATGGTAGAGAAAAGGTGCTCTGTGTCAGCTGCCCCGTGGCTGCCTTAGCAGCTGAATGCAAATGGAACAGGAGTAAGACAACCTGCTGCCAGTATCCTCAACGTGGCAGTCCAGTTCAGTCTTCATATGAAGACTGTTAGTTAGCTTTAACAGTTGTTTTTGCTTTCTATGATACACAGTATGTAAAGCAGCAAAATTGACTTTCTCAAATTTATGTCTTCAAATTGATTTACTGCCTTGTTACATTGTAAACCAGCTGGAAATAGTTAAAATGGTACTAAAGCTGTATTAAGATAGACAATTTTATCCTGAGAGTCATCTTATTTAGGTCATGAAAAAAAATTAGTTTCTTACCTAAATGCTTTTGCAAGAATGCTAATGAAGCTTTGTTGCTAAGGTCAATAGCTACATCTGAATCTATATCTCCCTTTAATTTGAACATATGTCCAATTATTTTGCCAGTTCCAAAAGTAAAGTCAGCAAAATTCTGATGGACTGAACCTCTAGAGAAAAGAGAAACAAGACATTTAAAAGTATCACTGTTTAATAAGATTAATTTTTTTAGTTAGGGTACGGGAAAGATACTGGCCTTGTTGGTCTATTTACTGAAAACCAAGGAAATAAAGCTTGTAATTTGATCTACTTAAATGCACTTTAAGGGTCACAAACTGTTTGTTTAGGGATCCCAGAGTATATTCATCTTTCCTGTAGAAACACAACATATAGAATCCTGGTCTTGCTTGGTATCTTGATTTTAGAAGGAATGATTCCTGCTTTTTAGTGAATAGGAATACTTCCAAGTATTGGAGTGTGTTGTGTGTTGAAAGGTCCCTGAACTCAGAGCCAGAACCTGCCACCTCCCCCTCACCATTCGAACGTGCTATGTATTTGATGCTAGTCAATTCACTTTAGATTTAAGCCTTAGAGGAAATAGATTTCAAACAAACAACACCTTTCCCAGTATTAAACTCTGGGCACTTTAAAAAATCATTTGCACTTCCCTCTGAATTCATCAATAGCCTAATGTCAAATAGGGCCTTTTTTAAGTGCCCATTTTCTACCACCACTGGGACATTTGACAGTTAATGGCTTTCTTGCACTTCTTTTCTTTTTGTTTCCCTTCTGACCCTAACCACTTTGTGTTCTTCACTGGCTCTTCACCCATTTCTCATTGCCTGAATGTAGGCATTCATTAGGATTCTATTGCCAGACCAACTTTTTTCTCACTTTGTAATCTCTTCTACTTCAAATGTTTCATCTATGATATCATGTAAATTATGTCATCATCCAATTTGTGGCCAGACATCTGTATACAGATTTCCCAGTTCTCAAGCTTAGATATGGTGAAGTTAAAAGACATCTTCCCAGCCCTGCCCAAAGCTACTCTGCCTCTTCACTCTGCTGGTTCTTATAAACAAACATCATTCTTATAGTTATCTAAGCTCAAAACAACTCCATTTAACTCCCTCTCACTATTCCCCACATTCTAATAGGAAACTTGAATGTCAGAAACATAAAGAAGATAAACAGCAGGATTATGAGAGAATTGAGAGCAGAACCTTGGATGCTCTGACAGTGGAGAACTGGCCTGAGGAAGAGAAATGGAAGAAGCGGCATAAACGATGAGGAGAAGCAGCAAAGAGGAGGGTCGTAGTAGCCAAGGGAGCAGGAAGAGGGGTGGTCAGCAATGTTGAACGGATGCAGAGAGCAAGGTTGGGGCTGTAAAGAGGCCACTGATGTGGCATGCAGAAGTTTTTAGTGCTTCTGCTTTGGCATCTGGTGGGGGCCCAGAAAGCTAGACCACAAGAGTCAAAGAGTGAGGTAGAAATAAGCACATGCAATAATTAATGTTGACTATTCTTTGAAGGTTTCTAGCAGAGAAGGGAAGAAAGACAAGGTGAGAACCTAGTAAGGAAGTAGGGTTGAGGGAAGGTTAGGTGATTTGTATTATTTCCGTTTTAGAATTAGAGAGACTTGAACATAGACATAAGCTAAATGGAAGTCCTCGCCTGAAATACCTAAACGCTTCCTTACTATCTAAACTCTCTCGATCTTACAAAATCCAATTTTAGTATCATCTAAGAATCCCTTTCAGTTGGAAGAGACCCTCTGTTCTCTGAGCCCTTAGTGGTTATTGCATACTCTGTATGTTTCCTTCCTGCCTCTTCTCTTCCCTTCTCTTCTAAATAAATCAGGTTTCAGATAGGAGAGGGGTAAGTTCAGGTCTACCTTTGCTTTGTAATATCTCACAGAGAGTTCAAAACCTTATCAGGAGTTCTTTTTCACATCCAGGATATAAGGATTGCCAATACTTGATGGTGCCCCATTATAGCTTTGGGAAATTTATAAACTCATATTCTTTCTCATCAGATAAGTATATGGCAGGTCTCAACAGGTAATCTGACTTTTTCTTTAAAGAGTTCCTAGCCCAGCCTAATGATAGAATACTTCCCCCTAGCTCTGCTCCTAAAAATGTATAGGCATATTCTGGTATTTAGATTTAAGTAGAATGTAGTGTAATGCTAGTTTTAATTACCAGTGATATAGTTTGGATCTGTATCCCCACCAAATCGCTTGTCAAGTTGGAATCCCCTATGTCAGAGGTAAGGACTGGTGGGAGGTGATTGGAACATGGGGGTAGTTTCTCATAGTTTCACACCATTCCCCTTGGTGCTGTCATTGTGATAGCTCTTGTGAGACCTGGTTATTTAAAAGTATGCAGTACCTTCACCCATCCCTCTCTTCCTCCTGCTCCAGCCATGTGAAGTGCTCATGCCTCCAGTGCCATCCGCCATAATTATAAGTTTTCTGAGGCCTCCCCAGAAGCTGAGCAGATGCCAACACCATGCCTCCTGTACAGGCTACAGAACTGTGAGCCAATTAAACCTCTTTTCTTTATAAATTACCAGGTCTTAAGTATTTCTTTATAGCAATGTGAGAACAGACTAATATGACCACTATACATACTATATACATTAACATTCCCATTTTAAAGAGAGTAAGTCTAAATGTACTTAGAAACTGAGATTATCTAATACTCTCCTTATTGAAAGTCTAAACAACCAATTCAGCAATTCTGTAATGGTTACCAAATGCTATCCACTGATGTTTACCCAAGCTTCAAGTTTGTTTCAGATAGTGAAATAAGTCACTAATACTTACCTGATTGTAATCATCTTTCTTTCTTTACCAGGTGAGTAGCATTTTTTCATTTTTAGGATATTAGCAGGATATTGGAAATATTCAGAGTTAATAAAAAAGAGGGGCTGAGGAATTCTGGAATATACTTCATCACCCAGTGGAAACATCCATGCATCCAGGGCAATACCACATCTGTAGATATTTGTTGACAATGATGAAAGAAGGCCGGTTACATACTAGCCAACATTTAGGACTTCCTAATAATGCTAGGATTGGTGGACACACACCATACCAGTTTATTATGGATTATCTCATTGGATTATACTTCAATGTAGGAAAGGAATATGATTAGCTTTGTAAGGCAACAGACCCGAAATTAAGTATACTCATTTTCTTTATATGCCTTTTAGGAATTGCAACCATTTGAATGATATATCCTTAAAATTTTTTATTCAAAATAAATTTTAAAATACATAATAAATTCTTCAATACTGTGGAGTATCTGAAAAAAGATAATAAATGCACCTCTGTTTTCAGAGCTTTCATCTGCCTTGTACTGTATTTATTACAGCTTTTTCAGAGTAACAACTGGACCCATTAATTTATATTTAGAGGCACTTCAGCTGAAAAACTGTCTGAGGGTTGAAGAAAAACATATGGAGCATATCATTTGAAAATGTAACTGACATCCTTTTTAAAAGTAAGTTTATTCTATGTTTCCTGACCATTTTCTAAATGAATGAAAGAAGAGAATTCTCTTACACTGAAAGAGACTTCTAAGAAATTTGAGGTGAAGTTTCACAAATGATCCTGCCCGCTCTCTGTATGGTTGGTCCTATGGGACCTCGTCAGTCTGGAATGAAGTCGTTCAAGAAAGAAAAGGTTCCTGCAAGCTAGAAAAATGGGGTCTGGTCCCGACTCCTACCCAGATAATCGTAATTTTAGATCCAGCTCCATCTTAAAGATGGAAGGGGAAAAAAACCTAATTAAAAAATGTCCTGCCCACTGGAGAAGTCTGGCAGTACTGTAAGATGACAATATTATCACAATCATCATGTCACAAAAATTATATTCAGATAAATTTTAAGTGAAAAGTGTTAAGCCCTTGGGTAGACAAAAATAATGAGGGAAAACATATGGGAGTAGGGAGAGATTTTAATAGAAGGAGAAGTAGATGTTTTAGCCTAGAAAAGTGTATATAGAGTACTTGATGGAGGCAAAAAGAAAATAGCCTTATAAACTCCAAGCGATCCCTTCTTCACTAAGAATTTAATTGAAAAAAGAATATCTTACATGAGTTATTACTCCCCCTCTTCCAATAATTTGCTATTCTCTTGCTCTACTATCTTATTTTCTTACCTGAATCTCTGATCTTCACTAAGAGTCTGAATAACTGTTGCTCCGCCAAAAGAATGTCCAATTACCGCTACTTTTTCTCTATCGATAGAGTCCTACATGAAAAAGCATAATATAAATTTATAACTATCTCATGGTGTTAGAAGAAATGATTCTGTCAATCATATAATTGTTCATTTAATGGAGATGGTTAAATACCTTAATTTCTTATAAAATAGAATATACATATACACACATACATTTATACATATCATACACACATAGACATATATACATATACATATAAAAATACATTTACATATTTATGTAAATGTATTATATATATATATCATATGTAAAGGTTTGAAAGTAAACTTTTTTAATTTTTTATTTATTTTTTATTGCATTTTAGGGGGAAAGTAAACTTAATGGTCTTCATACGTAAGTTCTGATTTCTGCCTCTCCTCACTCCATGTTTATTAGTTTGTTCATTCCGTGAGTATTTATTGAGTACCTCCTCTGTGCCAGGCACTTCAATCTCATTTCAGTGAGCTTGCAGTCCATCAGGGAAGAAAGTCATACAGAGGCACGATGTAATATAATACAGTGGCACCAAGGAGCACACATGACAGACAGCGAGCCCAGTCCAGGAGTGGGCATTGGGGTCCAGAAAGCTTCTTAGAGGAGGTGATGCTTAACTGGAGTCTTGAAATTAGGTAGGAGTTAGTTAAGGGGAAGGGTGTGTCAAACCAAGGGGACAATATAAACAAAGGCAAGGATACAGAAGAGAGTGGGTGCTTGAGGTGACAACAAATTTCTTCATTGTATCTGGAGAACAGACCATCATCTTACTCTCTAGTTTTCCCCTATTCCCTGCACTCCACATGCCAGACACACTTTTGAGTCTTTGCTTATGCTGCCCACTCTGTCTGATATTTTTCCACCTGCTCCAAAACTTGTGTCAAATTTTCAAGATCAGGCTTAAAAACATGCAGCAGCTGTCCATGAACTAATAATACTTCCACAGGAGTTAAGTTGAACATATGACATTGTTATTTTTGTAGATCAAAACTGACTAGCTATTGGCAATTTCATATCTAGTCCAAGATAATGCATTCTTCATTGCTGCAATATATTACTTGTACTGCTGTGTGTGTGTGTGTGTGTGTGTGTGTGTGTGTGTGTGTGTGTGTTGGGGGGGCAGTGGTTGCAGCCCTTTGTCATATTGTACCTTGCAATATATCAGAAAATCAGATGACAAAAAACACTAAAGAACTGTAGGAAAAAGGAAAAATTACTTTCTTTTTTTTAGCTTACCTTCAGTTGTTCCATATCAAACTTTATATCTAATGCATTCTTCACTGGCTTTCCATGATCAATGTCAAGAATCAGACTGAGAGCTTGGGAACATTCTTTTGCTCTTTGCTGTACCTAATAATTAGAGGAAGGAAATAACAAAGTAAAAAGTTATAACACTTACTTTAAAGTTTGTGTAGAAGTTGTGTGTGGGAAAAATGGTTGGTCAGTTGTAAACTGGAAATGTGATTAGTGATTATAATACATGCTACCATAATGACACAAGCATCAGCTTTGCACATTGGTATAGCTTAGTCCAAATCCTGGCTCTGTTGCTTACCTACTATATGACTTGAGATGATTTACTTAACCTCTCTGAGTTTCCATTGATTGTATAATAATGCCTACCTAAAGGAAATGTGGGTGAGCTCAAATGTGATAACATATGTAAAATAGCCACTACAAAGAGGAAGCCAATACGCTTCACTTCACTTAATTGCCCTAATAGCTCTGTAAGACAAATAATGTTGTTATTCATTAATTTTGTAACAAAATTAATTGGTGGAGCCAGGATTCAAACATAGAAAGCTGGATTCTAAGGCAGCTGGAGTGCAGTGGCGCAATCTCGGCTCACTGCAACCTCCGCCTCCCGGGTTCAAGCAATTCTCCTGCCTCAGCCTCCCAAGTAGCTGGGACTCGTAGCTGGGACTCCAGGCGTACGCCACCACGCCCAGCTAATTTTTGAACTTTTAGTAGAGATGGGGTTTCACCATGTTGGCCAAGATGGTCTTGATCTCTTGATCTTGTGATCTGCCTGCCTCAGCCTCCCAAAGTGCTGGGATTACAGGCCTGAGCCACCGCACCTGGCCGGCCCCACACTCTTAATTCTATTGTATACTGTCTCTCTGAAAACTAATCTTTTTATATTGCCTATGAGGGAGAATCTATTAATTTATTTTCTAGCACTTTTAGATTCTAAAATTAGAAGTTGTATTTCAAGGGAATTCTGAATATTCACTGTCATCTCCCAAACTTTTGTATTTGCCTTTGTTTTTACTATGAACCAGTCATTCCATTAAGGGAATTTTACTACTTTGGGAATCTATTGACAGATCTTTTGGGAATGGGAAATAGGAGAGCTAGGAGCATAACTTGACATATGTAAAATTAAATTAACAAACGACATCCTTTTGTACATGCTTTTAGGTCACCATCTACCTCTCCTTTCATTGCAATGTACCTGCTTATTTCGTATATGCATATCCTCTTGTTTCAGGGTTCTAAAGTACAGCCAAGACTTGTTCCCCATTTCTGCAGCAGATTGATCCTTGAAATAGTAAGTTGCAGATGCTGATCCATCTCTATAATACAAGCAAAATTATTTATGCATGCTCCTTTTCCCTTCCTCATCTGACCCATAGTTCTCAATTCCATCCTTGGCTCAACTTGTTTTGATCTTTTGACTTCCCTTTCTTCTTCTACTCTCTACTTTCTCTTAAATTAAAGAACACCCTAAAGGATTTCTAGGAAAAAAACCTTATTGTCTCTTGTCAAGTTGCAGGTAAACTAAATCCATTCTATCTTCCTAATTTTGGGAGGCAATGTTAGCCATGTTGAAACTCGCTCTCAGGAATCAAATCCCAGCATTGCTACTAACTAGTTGTGTGACTTTGGGCAAATTACCCTTTATCACCTCTATATTCCTCTCCCTTAAAACAACAACAATAATAATAACCATCTAATAGGATTGTTATGAAGATTAAATGAGATGGTATATTAAAAACATTTCACATAGAACATGGCAGGCAGTAAACACTCTAGAAATGTTAGATATTTTTAAGTCGACAATCAAACCCAATCTCCTTTTTCACTCATCACGTAATCATACTTGAAAGTTTCATCAACATTTTAAATAAACTTTTATGAAAATTAGAAACATAGTTATGAGCATTAACATTCCCTACAGTTGGCCAAGGAGCCTAATTACATCAGGTAACATACCTGTGTTCTACAGCAGCAACTATAAACCCATGAGATGCCAGGTCAATGCCAATAGCAGAATAAAGTGTCCTTCAAAACAAAAAGAGGGAAGCATTACAACTACCAGTCATTAGCTGTGTCCACTAATGAAACTGGGAACGTGGAGGCCATTACACCCCTGTAGTAGTGCCTGGGGGTAGACTGGAGAGTTATGGTTCTTAAAGGAGGGTGATTTTGTTTCTTAGGGGATATTTGACAATGTCTGGAGGTATTTTCATTATCACTAATGTGGGCGAGAGTACTACTGGTGTCTAGTGGGTACAGGGATGCTGTCAAACATCCTACAATGCACAGGGCAAAGCTTCACAACAAGAAATTATCTGGTCCAAATGTCAAAGACTACTGAGGTTGAGAAAACTGGTGCAGTGATTGTAAATATCGTCTTTGAGAGTTTGGTGTTTTAATCTTGGCTCTGCCACTTACCAGCTATATGATTTTAGGTAATTACTGCACTTTTGTCCTCACCTATAAAATGGGCCTAAGAGCAAAGCATTTGTTTTAGGGTAGTTGTAAGGCTTTGCTAAGATAATGTACATAGGAAATCAGTACAGTATGGTAGTTATGAGAATGAGACCTGCAGTTTGACCACTGAGTTTGAACACTGGTTCTACCACTTGTTAGCTGCGTACCTTTGATAAGTCACAACATTTTCTCTGCCTTGGTTCTTTATCTATAAAATGGTGATGCTAAAATAGTACAGCATCTCATCAGTGAGGATCAATTGAATTAATACATTTTCATTACTTATAATCATATTTGAAACAGTGACATATTTAACACGTTAGCTGTTATTTAAATGATTGGACTGGATGAAATAATTGAAAAATAATGTGCTAAGCACTGCATTTATGCCCTCTTCCACATCATTTGCACAACCTTTTCCTCATACCATGCATTCAATAGGAAATGTCAACAGAGAATAAAAAGGACATAGCTAGAAACTATGTCTTTGTTGCTGAAGACACAGGACCTTTTCAAGAGGGGGAAATGGTCTGGCACAGAGATTAGTACTCTTTTTCTGTTGAAGGCCAGACAGTAAATATGGCCCTGTGTTGTGGGCCATACACTTTGTCACCACTACTGAACTCTGATGTTGTAGGACAAAAGTTGCCATCGACAATGTACAAAAATGAATGGGTGTGTCTATGTTCCAATAAAACTTTATAGAAATAGGCAGTGGGCTGGATTTGGCCCTTGGGTTCTAATTTGTCAATCACTAGTGTGGGAAAAATCAAACAGCTAGCTGAACTACAACTAAAGTGCTGAAGAGAATTCTTTTTTTCAGGTGCTACCCAACTTCTTCCCAGCTAAAAGACTCTCTTACTTTCTGCATCTTACAATCCCAAGGTAGAAGAGGGGTGACAGTTGAGGAAGTGGTGGAAGAAAGTGAAGAGGGTGGTTGTTGTCCTGAAAATGTGCCATTCAGCTATCATGCTACATACAGTATAGCTAACTAAAGACCCCATCCAGCTTCTGCCCATCTGGATCTATCACCATGGTCAAGTAGAAGCTAAGCATCCAGTCACCTGCTCCCAGAGACTTGGCACAGCGAGGGTACTAACATTAGCCCATTCCTATGAGATGCAGGACTCTTGATAAGCAAATTTGGTCAAGCACTCCTTCCATTGGCCTGGCTCAATATTTCTTAGAACTGTGCTATAGTCTGAGGTTCTTTTTACCCAATCCTTCTCCCTTCCCATCACCTTTTCAGGTGTCCAATCTGTAGCATGGTAATAAGGTTCTCCCCATCTTTTCCTGCTTCTTCTCTATCCTTCACAGATATTTCTCTTAATAAATGCCTTTCAGAGCTCATCAATTCTTGGTTTCTCAGAAGTCCTAAACTTTACTGAGGATAATTTTTAAAGTGTAAATATTACAATATAGAAGGGCAATTATAAAAAATGCAATACCCTCTCTTCTCTGCTGTGAGGCTAATCCCAATGAGCTGGTAGTAGGGAAAAAAACTACTTGACAAGAAAGGGCTAGGACTGATCAATAGACCCAAAGCCAATTATTGAGGAAACCCAACTCCTCCAGACAAGGGCCTGCATGACATCCAAAATCTGCTACTTCTTTTTTGAATAAAAAAACTGTCATTTATTCCTAGAAGCTAAAATTGTTCAACCTCTCAAAGATTACCTGAATGCTCCAAGACCATGAGAAAAAACAATGAGTGGATATTTTTCACCAGTCCTCAGTGGGGAATTCCAGTTTGCAGGAGTTGTCATGGAACCTAGACAACGATAGGAGATTATAGTTAGTGATTTCTCTGAGCGTTGCTAGTGAATTTAATTCAAATCTCATTAGCATAAAATGCAGACCCATCTGATTTATATCTACTTTTTTTATGATGAATAGTAAATTCATTAAAAAGACTGCCACTAGATACCCACCAACCAAAAACCTGAACTGTAAGCTCTTTTCTCAGACCATAGGATCATTCATGATAAGTTCTCATCGCCAGTTCTGTATTTAAGGTGAGAGATTTTCCTACTTATCAGTGTATTCACAAAGGCTGCTACTTATTGCCGTTGCCAGGTTTTGGAAAAACTTTGAAGGGAATATTCTGGAACCAAACTACCTATACTACCCAAAAAAACCAAACTACCCATAAAACCTCAGCTACATTACACTGAGACCAGAATGTAAGAATCAGAGACTCTGCTCCTTACAATTTGGTCATAATCATGCAGCCAAAGGTAGAGAAACCACTGACTTCATACTGAGTCATGAATACAGCTCTGCCACTTCCTAGCTATGGATCTTGGGCAAGTTCCTCAAACTTTCTGTGTCTCGGATTCCTCTTCTGTAAAATTGAGAAAATGGTATTTCTTTTATAGGGTTTTTTGTGAGAATTTTATTTAATTAGGTAATATATGTAAAGCACCTATCCATCACATAGTAAGGGGCTCAAAAATGAAAATACTGTCTTCTTTCACTTCTCAGTTTTATTGTCACCATTATTATTAGCAATCATTTGTGTTTCACTTTCTCATCTATAAAATGCAGATGTGGTCATGAAGACTGAATGTGATGAGGAAATGATTTATATGTTTTTTTTGCAACATAAATATGCAGAGTTACAGTATTTTAATTTCTGTTATAAGTGGTTTTTAAGAAAATTAGAAGCAGATGTTTAAGATGAATCCAAAAAGTTGTAGATAGTTTTAAGGGAGAAACGTGAAGACACAATTAACATCAGCCCAACATCTGTAGTGTCTAGTCAAACAGATAAGAAAGGAAGGAAAATTCTACATTAGTATAATGTAGAAAATAAGTAAAGAATGCACATCAGATTGTCTTAGTGATGGGAATGAAAGTAGAGTCTCTTCAGGCATTAGCTTTGACTCCTTTGTTTTGGATCTGGAGAGTTCAGTGGCTTCTACTTTTTTCTTTTTTGGTCTGACTTTAGCACAGAGCATGCAGGATAGTGGCCACACCAGAGAACCTGCTATTCTCACCACATTATTGCCCTCTCCATGGTACGTCAGATGGAAAACTAAAGAGTAGTCATAGAAAGATGTCAGAGTCAGTCTGATACTCTTGGCCACCCCCATCCAACTCAGGTGGACAAAATGAGAACTCTTGCTTCTGTCGTAGTTGCCTGGGCTTTAAAGAAATACTTTCCTTATCATTTTAGGAGATATTTACACTGGAGAAAAATCTACTTTGGTCTTAACTGCCTGAAATTGTTGTTGTTTTCAAAGTTTTCTTAAAGCTTACAAAGAAGGATCAACAGAAGTCTTACCAAAGAGTAACCTCAAAATGTTGCCTACAAGCCAGTGTCTTCCAAGACATTTACTGAGACCCCAAAAATATTCTTTGTTTGGGATCCAAAGAGTGTCAAGGCAATCATCATCTTGGGATGGATAATATAAACGCAAGAAGGTGCCCTGTTAAGAGAGAAATTAATGCACTTTTAGAGAAGTTGCTTCTCAGACATATTCCAGCATCTATTTTGCTTATTTCATTAGCAGGGACCCAAGTACCTCTGTGTTCACAAAGAGGTCTGGAGAACTTTTTAGGCTGCTGTGGTGACTGAAGACAGGCATGAAAGAGAAACAGTAAAACAATATTTTATCTCAATGAAAAGAAAATATAAGCAGACTGGCTTCAGATATTAAGGAAGTAAAAAATAGGGTTTATAGATAAATTAATCAGGCAATAGCAAAGAATTGGGGAATGGCTAAACTAATAAAAGGCTTCATATGAAACAATACACATTGCAAAATGGGTCATTCTCAGGTGAGGGCAAGGACACATTTGAACACCTTCTAGTGGGCCATAGTGACAGACAATATTAGTTTCAGGATAAGTCTGATAAATCAAAGCATTACCTTATTAGTGTGATCAAACATTAAGTCTGTACAACCAATGGAATAAGGCCCATTTCCCCGGGGAATTTTAGTTTGGCCAGAGCTTGCAGCCGCCATCACTACTTGTATTTTGTTGACCCATGCTGAAAAACAAGTATATATTATTTCATTTGTCATCCATTACACATCAGATTTTATTATGCAAAGAAATTCCAGTGGAATCAAGTTACTTGCCATAGTTTCTGGCATTCATTCTTTCTCAAACTAACAAGTAAAATACAAAAATATTGAGGGTCTGCTCTGTTTGAAACACTCTGTAGGGGTTTTGGAGGGTAAAGAGATGAAGGTAGACAGATATTGCCCTTCTCCCAAGTTGCCTTGGACTGTTACCTCCTAAATGTTTACAGCCTTACCCTCTCATTCTACTTCTATCCAGAGTATATTAAAGATGATTTCACAAATCTGTTTTTCCTACACATGAACTTTATCTCACATTTCCAATTTGTGCCTATCTGGTCCTTCCCATAAGAATGTCAAAGCCATTTAAAGAATATCTCTATCTGGTCCTTCCCATAAGAATGTCAAAGCCATTTAGTTTCCAAAATGAAACTCAATGACCATCTTTCAACTCCGCCTTCTCACCTTCCAGCCACACAGCCTGCAACTCAAGAGCTCCTCATCTCCTGCACTACAAGCCAGAAACCTGGGAATCATCCTACTCTCCTATCTCTCAGCGACCCCCTACATTCAACCAAGCCTCTATTTCTAACATCAGTTTTTAGGTTAGGAAGATCTCCACAATCTATCTCTGACCCGCTAGCTCAATTGTCTCATTGATGTCCTCACTGTTTCTTGACCATGCTGTTGCTCTCTCTCCTAACTGTTCTATCCATCTTGGATCTTGACCCCTTCAGACACATCCTTTACACAGCTCCTGGAGGGATTTAAAGCAAAAATAACACCAGACAATTCTGAAAATCCTTCAATGGCTTCCTATCAGCAAATGTTCTTTCCTTGAATGAGGAACGTATTGTAATCTCTTTGGAAGGCAGTTTGTAGGAGGAATTTAAATCTACACATGCTTTCCTAAGCAAACACACTGCTACTTGCACAAATGTGACCTATCCTTCTAGGATTCTGGGGTTGAAACATATGAGGTTCACAGGTGCCTAAGTTAAATCCCAAATTTCTCCGCACTGCAAAGAAACTGTCCACTGGAAGCCCATTGCCTCGTACTCTTCTTCGGCCTCTTCCTCTTAGGTTATCCCCCTTCCTTGTGCTACAGGACTCCTGAGCTACACACTAGGTTGACTGATGCCACTGCATCTTTTTAAATGCTACTGCCTATGCTTAAATCCTTTTGGCAAACTCCTATTCAAACTTCAATACCTTGATCAGATATCCTACCTTCTCTGAAGCCTTCCCTGATTCCCTAGACAGACTTAATCATTTCATCCTCAGTATTATATAGATTCTATGTGTATGTGTGTACAAACACATAATCATTCTTCCTATCACATATTAAAATTATGTATCTGCATGCTACACTAGGCTATTTCTCCAGAGCCATATCCATGTCTTTGCATCGCTGATCTTCACACAGATCACATGTCTGGCACATAGTCAATGTGTAACAAATATTTGTGAAAATGAGGTTAGTAACCTGAATGGCCACTGGCTCTCTTGTTTTCTTTTAAACCCTTTATCATATACAGTCTTTTACTCACTCACTTCTAAAACCCCTTTTCTCTTTCTGGTGCAACCATTCCACACACTACTGCAGCTTCATCTGTTATCCTTTCTAAACCCCAATCAAATCCATATTTAATTCCATGATGTTGAATCCAAATATCAGTATATTCAGACTTACTTTTCTTTTTTTTTTTTTTGAGATGGAGTTTCGCTCTTGTTACCCAGGCTGGAGTGCAATGGCACGATCTCGGCTCACCACAACCTCCACCTCCTGGGTTCAGGCAATTCTCCTGCCTCAGCCTCCTGAGTAGCTGGGATTACAGGCACATGCCACCATGCCCAGCTAATTTTTTGTATTTTTAGTAGAGACGGGGTTTCACCATGTTGACCGGGTTGGTCTTGATCTCTCGACCTCGTGATCCACCCGCCTTGGCCTCCCAAAGTGCTGGGATTACAGGCTTGAGCCACCGCGCCCAGCGACTCTTACTTTTTTTTGACATACCCAGCTTGTCCACTCCTTCCTTGCAATGGATGGTGGGAGTTGATTACTCTCTGCTAGCCAGCTGCCAAGAGCTATGTTAGGTATGATATCTGCATCAATACCATGGAACACTGCCCAGAAAGGTTTTGAGTCATGGGAAGAAACCAATTTACAGCCTCCACAATTTGCAGCCTGGTGACTCATATGTGAAACACCTGCTCACGATGAAACCTTTCAATACATAAGGCTCGGCCACTCAAAGCTGATCTGTGGACCAGCATCATTGGCACCACCTGGAGCTTGGAAATGCAGATCCCTGGACTTCACCCCAATGCTACTGAATAAAAGGAATGTCCATTAAAGTTTAAGAGACACTAGGCTGAAGTTCCAGACCACCTGGCCTGACACACAGGTCAGCAATCCATGGTCAAATGGTAAGAGATAGTTGCAAGGAAGGCAAGGGGTGACGGGGTTGAGATGAACGAACCCTGGGAATTGGGTGGACATGGTTCTATTTCAGATTTCAGGTGTACCTCTTACAAGCTATAATCTTCTGGTCTAGGCAATTTGCTCCCCTTTCCGATCCACATTTGTAAAATGACATAAAAGCACTTGACTAGCCCACAGGACAGTTTTAAAGATGAGGTGAGAATGTAGGTTAAGTTCTTAGTACAAAACATGACACATAATGGGCAGATAACTAATGCTATTTACTCCTTCCCCAGAGTTAATTTATTCTGGCTAGGTAAATCTGTGCTGTGTCCTTGGGGAAGTTTTTGAGTTTTAGCAGGTCTAACCTCCCCACAGGTAGATTCAAACCCCAGAAACTATTTTTAAAAACTTTACCTGTAAGGTGAACTTTCAGGGTCTATTTATAATTACAAAAGGCTCTTCTTCTTCCAATAAAAGACTGTGTACTGAGCCATGCTTCTGGTGTGGCAGGGAGATGTCAAGTCCTGAGGAGGAGGACTTTAAGGCAAGGACACCTGCCCTTTCTTCTGTGGTGAGCAGCCTGGAGCTGCTGCGCCCCCACCCCTAGGCAGGCATGATGTACCTGTGCAGGGCTTGGTGCAGGGAGATCTCTGGCTCACACAACTTCCTAAGGAGTCCCAGAGCCACAGATGGTGTTGGAGATACTACCTCTAGAATTGGAGGCTCAGTTCTGGAGCCATAGGAGAGGTTCACCCAGAACAAGCCTCTGCTTGTGAGATCTCAAAGGCCCAGGGAACCTTTTCCAATAAATTAGGAGTGCCCTGGTTGTCCAATACCTGCTCTCTCTGAAAAGGTTCCTCACTCAGCATTCAGGAGCATTCAGATCAAGGTGAGGCTATAGGTCTGCCTGTTCCAGAACACTTGACCCCAGAGAAGGCCTCAGGAATCATTGAGCTGACCCAGGTTTTGACATAGGTCTACTAGATCCTGTGCACTAGTGCCAGGGTGCCTGGGGGTGACTGTGGAACAGGCTCCATAGCCTGCAGCTGACCCAGTTATAGGCCTGGATTTCCCATTCTCTACCTGTCTTTCAGGGGTCATCATCAAGGAAGTGGAAGGAGGAGACTCATCAGATCAAATAACCACTCACATCATTTTGTGGTTCAGAATTTATAAATGTCTCCTCTTAGTTTTCTTCATTTTAATAAGAAGATCAGAACCTATAGTATGCTATTAATTCTATTACATATTTTTGGTGGTATACCTTTGTCAAATATTCCTGATGTTCAGTTTTGGGTGTGGAGATGAATTGTATACATGCTAGGAAAATTACACTCTTATATGGCTTTATGTAATCCATTAGGAAAGAGGGTATCTCTAGCCCATTTTTACAAACCTTTTTACCTGCATAGCCATATTTTCTGTATATTCATTTAGTAAGAAATTATAAAGAACCACCTATTATTTTAATCTTATTTAATAAACTATTTCTAGTATTTTAACCAGTATGTATGCATTCATTTTTGTTTGTTTGTGTGTTTTGAGACAGAGTCTCTGTAGCCCAGGCTGGAGTGCAGTGGTGCAATCTTGCCTTACTGCAACATCCGCTTCATGGGTTCAAGCAATTCTCCTGCCTCAACCTCCCTGGTAGCTAGGACTACCGTGTGTGCCACCACACCCAGCTAATTTTTTGTATTTGTTTTTAAATAGAGACAGGATTTCGCTATGTTGGCCAGGCTGGTCTTGAACTCCTGACCTCAAGTGATCCACCCACCTCAGCCTCCCAAAGTGCTGGGATTATAGGCATGAGCCACTGTGCCTGGCCTGCATTTATTTCTGAACATTTAGAATGAGCATTGCATTACACTAAATGCTGGGACTGTAAAGATAAATAAAACAATGTCTCTGTCCTCAAGTTTCTGTCAGTCCAATGACAGCCTTCCAATGATTTTTAAAAATAAAGAGATTAAAAAGAAAAATGTTTTGATATTTTTACCCTGTACCAATAAAAACTGAATGATACAAATGTTTCCCAGATGATTTTCCCACCATATAAGATATTACCTATTCTCAATCCATGAAAAAGGAAATAGGAAAAATGAATTAATGTCTAGGCTGCAGGACCCTTGAATTTGGCTATAAGTTTATTGTCTTAGCCACCAGTTTATCCCTGAGGCCTTAACTTCCTGATGTGTTGTAAGATGAATGGACTTGTGAGATATTATTCTACGTCCTATGCAAATGTAGATATAAGATATAGAACCTCTCCTACTAATGCCTTCATTTTCCTGGTTATGCAGTAGGGCAAAATTTATAAGGTACTGAGTTATGAAAGCTCTTTCGTAAATGCTAAAGAGTCACCCATCAAGCTTGAACAACTAGATCCACAATGACACAACTATCCAGGTGCACAGCTCTGTGGGTATAGTCAGTATGACAACATTCAGAAGCCTCCTGCACTGCTCTCCACAGGAGACTGGAAAGAAAAGTTTATGTACCACAACCCTCTGGGAAGAGCAGGAATTTGCAGAGCTCCAGAAACAATCTCTTTGCAATTAAGGTCCCTCTTAGTGATATTACATGTCGCTGTCTAAAGATGGTTGCCCTGTTTTGGCAAACTCCTCCTGGATTTGTCTAAGCGTTCCTCTTCTTTCTTTCCCCTCTTACCACAAGGCAAGAAAGAATGAGTGATCACATCCATTCTCATCTGGAACTCCCTAGCACAGCACCTACTTGTCCCTATTCCTCTCTATTATTAGGTAGGAAAGATTGTTTCCCTTTGGATCCCAAGACCTAAATTGTTATCTCATAGGACCTTCCACTATTAACCAAGACTATGCCTGTTGAAAAAGACACCTGCCTCTCCTCCACCTCATGAAAGCAGGTTTTGAAGCTGCCTTGGAGTGTACTCCAGAGCAGCTGCATTACTATGCTTGTGTGTAGACATGTGTTAGGGCAGTCATAGAGAAAAGGGGTGGCATTAAGGAGGCTGTCTGTGGTGACTGCAAGCTGAGCTTCCAGTGTATCTTAAAACATCCCATCCTGGTTCTGTCCTGCAGTCCTGATACTGAAGAAAACAGGTCCTTCTTCTGCTCCAGCAGAAAAGAGGATCTACATAACTATTTAAATAGGACTTGTTTAGATATACAGATGTGCAACTTCTTGGGGGCCACTTGAAGTATGGCAAAGGGCCAGTTGCTCAAGACCTTGAACAAATAAATATACCTCTTACCTGATGATTTCATATGGGCAACAGGATTTAGGTATTGCCAGTCAAAAGGATGAACCACAGCGAGGCAGCCGCAAAGGTAGAAAAGTGCATGCAATTTGGGTGGCACCATCTTGGGAGCTGAGCAGCAATTTCAGCTTAGTCTCCTTCAAAGCAGATGATTAAAAGAAAAAAAAATCATGCAATGAAGATAGGCTGACAAATCAAGAGAGGCTGAGGTACTAGTAACATTGGGAAAAAATGTAACACACATTTTCTGGGCTGGGTTTTAGATTGGCACTAGAATGATAAGGTCCTTGGTAATGTAATTACCTAATTACATTACATAATCCTACATTATTAAGGATTACATTGAACTGTAGAGCACAGAAAAAAATACTTTCCAACAGATTAGGGTTTTGGTCACTAGTTTTCTAACTTTATAACGGTATATTTGGCTATAAAAATAGCCAACAAAATATAACAATTATAACATTCATTTTCCTGGTTATGCAGTAGGGCAAAATTTATCAGGTACTGAGTTATGAAAGCTCTTTTGTAAATGCTAAAGAGTCACCCATCAAGCTTGAACAACTAGATCCACAATGACACAACTATCCAGGTGCACAGCTCTGTGGGTATAGTCAGTATGACAACATTCAGAAGCCTCCTGCACTGCTCTCCCAGGAGACTGGAAAGAGAAGTTTATGCACCACAACCTTCTGGGAAGAGCAGGAATTTGACCATCTATATCATCATCATATCCATAGGTATGTCTAGCATGTAGTAAACAGTTCATAAATTTTGGTTATTTCCATCATTTAATTATACAGTGATTATATTTCTGCTGCTGTGGTTGTTTTGGGTATTAACATGATGTTATATGCTTGGTCATTTCTATAATCCTACTGTAACATAAGTTTCCAAAAAGCAGAGATCATTTTTTATTTGTTGTCTCAGTGCCTAACAGAGGGCCTGGCAAGAAGTAATACTGAATAGATGCTTGTTGAATCAGTAAATGAAACAACATAATATGAGATGAGTGGTAAGAATAAATTACATTACAACTAGGCTGTATGCTTACATCTTATTAGCAAAAACTATCTTACATTTGTGTATTCATTTTCCCCTTTAAAATGTGGCCCTTCAACTTTTAGGGGGAATGGAAAAGGTCCAAGCCACCACCATCTCTCACCTAAAATTTGCTGTCACCTCTAATGCCTCTGCCTGCTTTTGCCCTTGACCCTATAATCTAAGCCCAACACAGCAGCCAGAGTCATTATGTCACCCTTCCTCACAAAACCCCCAAATGGTGTCATACGTTACAGGGCAGAAGCCATTGACCCTAAATAGCATTTAAGGCTTTACAGAGCCTGTACTCAGCACACTCCCAATCCTTCCACTGTCCTCTCTTGCACACCTGCTGTGACCACACTTGCTTTCTTGCCATTCACAAGACATGCCAAGTACTCCATGCCTACCCTCCGTCCCCACCTTGAGGGCTTTGTATCTGTTACCTCTTATGGGAATGTTCTTTGCTCTGACACCCAAATGACTGGCCCTCTCATCTCTGGGTTTTTGCTCCAGTGATAGTTTCTCAGTGACACTTTTCCTGGTCAATCTATTTAAAATTGTAATCTAACCTCCTTCTTCACACCAATACATTCCCTATTTCCCTCTCTACTTTATTTTTCTCCAATATGTATTACCAACTAACAAATTTTGTATGTTATTTGTTAACTGTTTATAACCTTCCACGAAAAACTTAGTTCTGTGAGTGTAAGAACTTTTGATGGTTTTCCCCCCTGCTGTATTCCCAAAACCTAAAATAGTGCCTGGTATACAGAGGTACTCAATAAATGCCTGCTGAGTGAATAGATCTAGCACATCTGGTTACTAATACAAACTGAGCCCAGTTTAATGATCCAGTGTCCCACTGACACTAATGAAGTACTAGTTAGTATAGCTATTTTGCGGGAAGATGTCATATAGATGCGGAGCATAGAAAATCAGTGCTCCTGAACATCTATGTGCTTCCCTACATTTCTGAGCCACCCCTGTGGCTAGGCTAGGCCCATGGGACTAAGTCCTGGGAAACAGAAATTTGAACCAAAGTGGTATGAAACAGAGTCACTTTATCTCCTTCATCCCTTCCTTTCCCTCACACAGCAAACTTAGAAATCACATGCTGATGTAGTGGAGTCTTGAAGTGAAAGAAGCCTGTATGCCTAGTCATTGAACAGAGAAGAGCCCCTGCCAATTCAAATGACCTTTCACAAACAGGAAATAAACGTTTGCTGTGTTAAACCACTGAAAATTTCCAGATGAAGCTGTTATTGCCTTACTGCAGCACAGCACGGCTGATCCTGAATAGCAGCAGATCTGCAGTCATTCAATCAAAGCAAATACTATATGCCCTCTCCTATGGCAACAATTGTGGAAAGTGCCAGAGAATTTGATACAATCCCTACTCTCAGAGAGTTTACAATTGTGTTTCAGAGACAAGACTAGCATATATTAATAATATAATATAGGAAGAAAGCAAATTACAGGAGCATTTTATAATTCTTAGATGATACAGTACAAGTTCTGAGAGCAACAGCAATTCAGAGAGAGAGATTTCAAAGAGATGGGGATGTAGTAAGGGGAGCTCCTATTGCACAGGCTATAAAGACCCAGATAGGCAGCTGGGAAATGTGTTACTGGGGCTCCAAACTTCTTCAACTACTTGCTGAGGGATTATATTTCCCTATTCAACATCTTCCTTTTGATCAGAAAAAAGGTACGTATAGTGTAACTCTTTAAGATTATTTATAGTTTTGGTTGATTTTATTTGATCTTATTTCAGTATTATATTTAATTTTACTATAAAGTTAATACATGATTTCAAAAATCCAAACATAACATGAAAGGTAAATTGAGTTGTCTCTTCACAAATAATGACTTGTAAACAGATTTTTTTCCAGAGGTATTTCTAGGCTTGAATACATGCACACTGCAGGGGCCAAGGGGGGCATGGTGGCATTCCCCTTGAACTTCTGAAGCTTCACTCAGAAATCAATTCATAATGAAATCACAAGAGTCCTTAAAAGTATAAGAGGATGGACCTCCGAAGAAGAGGTCCGAATGATGTGATGCTGAAAAAGGGATGAGTGTGGTTGAACTCTCAGCTCCCATCTTTATGTAAGATATATGATTCTCTTTAAAAGCATCTGCAAAAAATTTCCTGCTCAATACTTGCTAATTTGAAACCAAGAAAGAGAAAAGGTAATATCTACTCTATTATTTTCTCTCTACCACATTAGCTAATGAAATTGAAACTTAACTTGGACATTATCTCAAATGTATAGCACTCAAGTGACTTCTGCAGAAGTGTCCAAAGCCTCTTATATGGGGGACAGTAGCCACAACTCTTGCATAATCATTTCACAATGTAAGAGAAGAAGTACGGTCAAAACAGCAAAATAAGAAACAGTTCCCTATTGTGGAAGTAGTTTAATAATAGAGTCATTTATAAGTACAAGTTCTGTACTGAAAACCTGCAAGTAACATATAATTAATTGATTCTACTCACAATTTTGAAAATGGGAACTAATCAGCATCCAGTGTGCAAATGTCCAGATGTTTGGTGTTCTATATGGCTTAAAGGTCATAAAAGGTAAAAGTTGTCTAAGATCACTGGACAGCTTGCTGCTATACTGAAAGTTCTTGATCTTACCCTTAAGATTCAGTCCTCCAAACTGCCTGCCTAGATAGGCCAACCTGGCACTGTGACCTCAGCTACTGTTTTCTCTATAGTCTTACAATGAGTTTAAAGCTTTAGAAGAATGATTTTTCTAGAGTAACTGTGGCTTCTCCTTAAAGGATCAGAGATCCTTGCATTATGAAAAATGAAAGTCACAATCAACCCCTGCCCTTAACAAATGAAACACAGTGGAAGAAAAAGAAATGCATACACACAAATACACACACCTCATGTATGCAATATTACTCACAATAGTAAAAGTAAGTGGATCTGTTGACTGTTGTATGCATAAATAGCTACATGGTGGTTAGGTTAAGGTCATGGGTATATTTCTTGAGAAAACTTACCTTGTGTCAGAAGAATAAAGTGGTTTAGAAATCTAGCTCCAGTTTCTGGCTGCCAAGGTTTGAATTTTGAATCTGCTGCTTTCTAGTTTGGTGACTGCAGTTAAGTTCTTGCCTAATTTCTGCTTTTCTCTCCTCATCTGTGAAAGGGGAACCCCGATAATGGGGTTGTTATAGGATATGAGCCCTTGGAGGAATGCTATTACTATTACCCAAAATCTACTAATTGCTGCTCAGCCCCAGGAGTCTGTTGTGCAGATGCAAGCCACAGCGACTGGGGTGTGGAGGAACCTGGGGGGCACCGGAAACGGAGTGTACAAGCAACAGGCACAGATCCTCTCCTGCTAACAGAACTCAGTGTTCGTGTTCCCCAGGAGGATGCAGTATTAAACTGACATATATGCCCCAATACAGCAGAAAATACTGAAAGAAGCAGGAAAAATGATAATGGAGGCCATGGAGGGAAGGCAGTTCTGAGAAGAGCTGTTAGCTCCCTAAAACATCCAAATGCACCAGTGCCCATCCCATAGGCAAGATTAGAAATGAAGTGCTATCCCTCAAACTTTATCCACCCACTTATCTGATGTCATATGTACAAACTAAAATGAATAAAATAAGGTAGAAAAATAAGATAGTGTTTGTAAGACAGTTAGCAATCATGATAACTTACTCTCTGGTAGGTACCCTTCTAAGAATATAAATGAACTCATTTAGTCCTCAGAGTTCCTCAATATACAGATGAGAAAATGAAGACAAAGAGGTCAAATAACATGCTCAAGATCACAGAGACAGGAAATAGCTAAATCGGGATCTGAACCTAGACCCTGACTCTAAAGTAGGAATTCTTAAGCTCAGCCCTACTGACACCCGGGGCTGATAAGTCTTGGTTGTGGGAGCTGTCCTATGCATTGCAGGGTGTTTAGCAGCATCCCTGGCCTTTACCCACTAGATGCCATTGGCACATCCCAGTTGTGGCAACTAAATAGTGTCTCCAGACATTGCCAAATATCCCCTGGAGTGGGGGCAAAAATCATCTTCAGCTGAAAACCATTGCTCTCAAGCTGTACATTGAACAGTTCTCCTGTAAATGATCAGGAAGAATCTAACTGGAAAATAAGCCCTGAAAGTAAATTTAAAAACACAATTGGCCAAGAAAAATCTAAAGACATCTTCAGTTGTAAGACAAAAGTATAACATCTTAGAGAATAGGAGGCCAGCCTCCCACTGCATTATGCACTAGTTAGACCACATCTTGTTGAATTGGTGGGGCTTTAAGGATTTTAACAAGTAAAAGTTCATGCCAAGAGACAATGACCCCAAAATAACCAGAATGATGAGGGAACAAGGCAGCAAGTCACAGGAGGAGCTGCTGAGCAAATGAGGAATGTTTATTATGGGGAAAACTCAGACAGCATGTGACAGCCACAGTTCTGTGCAAAGGTCCTAAACATGTTCTATGTGGGCCCAGATTGCACAGCTCCATTAACAGGAGCTTTTCAACAATTAGCAATATCCCCTTTATCAGAGAAGCAGTGAAAGTACAGGTCTGGGGACTACCAGCAGGGGTAGAGATTCCTGGAATAGAGATTCCTGCATTAGATGAGGGTGAAAGTGTAACAGACAAGCTGCACTTGATTGCCCTAAACCTGAAGTTAAAAAGCAAAAGTCTACAAGGGCCAGTCAGGTAATTTAAATCAATCAAACAGGTCCATGCAATAGAATAAAGATTGGTGTGGATTGCGGCAGACTGGATCACCCAAAGGAGGTGACTAGCACTCTATTCCAGTTAATGGCTTCCATGTAGGAATGGCAGCTCCGTGTCACTAGATCAACTGATTGTTTCCAAGAAAAGCTGGAAAATTACATTTGTATGTAATATCCAGTGACTTTTAATGGGGAACTAATTCAACATTTCAAAACATGGGTCAAACAAATAGATTTCTGGCTTCAAGGAGACCTGTAACCTCTCCCTTAAAGATGCCCCAACCACCCCACTCCCCAACCCTAAGGGAAATATGGTGGTAGATATGGTAAGAGATAAATCATACAGCTCCCAGAATTACTATCACATTTTGTCTGCAATTCCAATCACCAGACTGGCCACTTCAAGCTGAACTTCAGACACACTGACCAGTAAATAATTCATGGGATCTGGCAAGTTAATATGTCCTAGCCACTATTAAGTCACGAGCTGACATTTCCACTGCACACAATATAAATGAGGAAGGGCTTGCTTTCCTCTAAGCAGGCGTATATCCTTTTAGTAAGTTGCACATCAAAACGAGACAAGAAAAACAAATAGAGTTGTCTCACTGACTTAGGTGTCCTATCTCTGTGAAGAACATCGCCACCCTAGTTGGTAAACAACTACAACTTCCTGACTCTCTAGAACTTAGAGATCAATGAGGGAGAATGCAAGACCTTCCTCTGAGAGAAAATGCTTCACTAAGTTGGGAAACAACCCTAATCAACTCTGGTCCATAGCCTTCTCCAGAAATATTGCTGCCATAGAGATATTTTCAATTATCTACAAATCTTTGCACTCACAGATATCTGCATGGCCACAGCCAGGACAAAGGCAAATCTGTCCGAAATATTTATTTTTTCCCCATTCCCAGCATCAATTATTTTATTTTTGGAATTTTTATCTGAGCATATTCAACTTTTGAAATTAAGCCAGCTATTATTTTAGCAGTAATTTCCCTGCATTCTGTGATGACTTGTTTTATTGCTAACTCTTTTTTTTTTTTTTTTTTTTTTTTTTTTTAGACGGAGTTTCGCTCTTGTTACCCAGGCTGGAGTGCAATGGCGCAATCTCGGCTCACCGCAACCTCCGCCCCCTGGGTTCAGGCAATTCTCCTGCCTCATCCTCCTGAGTAGCTGGGATTACAGGCACGCGCCACCATGCCCAGCTAATTGTTTGTAATTTTTAGTAGAGACGGGGTTTCACCATGTTGACCAGGATGGTCTCGATCTCGTGATCCACCCGCCTCGGCCTCCCAAAGTGCTGGGATTACAGGCTTGAGCCACCGCGCCCGGCCTTATTGCTAACTCTTAGTTAAGAGTTTCCAATTCTCTGAAGAAAGAGAGAGAAAGAGAGAGAGAGAGAGAGAGAGAGAGAGAGAGAGAGAGAGAGAGAGAGAGAGAGAGAGACACGAGGTGTGGGGGGAGAGAGGAGGGAGAGGAGAGTGAGTGAGTGAGAGGTGTGTAGGGATGTGTGTGTGAAAGAGAAAGATTGTCCCGGTAGGAGACTTACAGATGAGTAAACCCCGTGTGTACCCTACTCCCCTGGCCTGACTCTCCCCCTAGCTCTGAGCTCTTGGAGTTGCTTCCTTTCCTTTCGGGAAAAGGTTTGGGAGAACTGGTGTCGAATCTCGTCACCCTCCCCCGCTCTCCCCGCGAGGATCCTAGCGCTGTTTCCGGGGGCAACAGGGTCGGTGAGTCCAGGAATGGCCGTCAGAGTGGATGCGCCCGGCCTCCAGCGAGGCAACAGTGCCTCCCGCGCCTGGCGCGCCCCGTCCGCTTCCTCCCGCTTCCGCTCCCGCTCCCGCCCGGCCCCCGGGACCCCTCCTCACGCAGGCGCGGCGCGGAGCTGCTCGCGGGAAGCCGGGTCTCTGGGCGCGTTCCACCGCGCACCGAAGCGACCCGAGCGCTCCAAACCCGACCGCCTCTCGCTGCCAGCACTACGAGTCTCCGGCCAGCTGCTGTCCCCGTGGCTGCCGGCAGATCAGCTCCGCCGTGCGGGCGGATAGGTGGCTGAACGCCGACTGTGTCTTGGGCCCGCCCGGCGCGGCTCTGTGGCCCCGACCCTCTACTCCCCGGCCGCTGCCGGAGGAGGGACTGGGGAGGAGGGTGTTGTCCCGGCCTCCCACTAGCTGCGGCGGCTTCCTACGCGAACGTGCTCAGGCGCACCGGGCACTCTCCTCACCCACCTGGACCCGCGATTGACTTCGCCCGCTGGGATGAAGCCAGGTAGTGCCTGGCTGGTGCCTAGCTTGCCAGCTCCGGTCCGCAGACCTGATAAGATCAGATTTGTTCCCGGCTGAATTCTCCCCACATCACGCCGGTTTTACTTGTTTCACCATGTTCTCTGAATACACTGAATTCCTCCGACCATCTATAATCGGCAATGCGCTGCGCATTTTCCGCACTCTGGCACGTTGTACACCGAACACCAATTCAGCAGTGGTGTGGACCGTGCTCCGGATTGGAAGGCCTGCCACTGTGTTGGTCATTTCTCCCGGAAATGACAATGCAGGGCAATCAGGAGTAGCACTCGTGGTCTGAGGAGAAATGGAGCTAGAAGGAGTCGTTTTGTAGCTCAGTTTAACACAGTTTTATTTGGGGTTTAGCTGAAACTCCTTCCTTCATTTTCCAGTGCTTTCTCTTCAATCCACTTTCTAATAAATTAAAAACACACTTGCTTAAAACTTCAGTTACAAACTCGGGGAAAGTAGTTTGAAATTTATGTGTGGTGTTATTAAAATTTTATATTTTTAAATTGTGGTTTGTTTTTTGGTGAGGTGCCAGAACTGGAGATGAAATATTGTTTATTTTGATTTGAGTACTCTGCAGTAACACGGCCTGAGTTTTTAGCTCATAAGTTTTTCTCCCACTCATAAGTGGTGTGACCTTGGGAAAGTTCATCATCTCTCCTCAGCTTCCTCATCCATAAAATCAAGAAAATCAAAATCAGTTGGTCAGAGGCAGCTTGTGAGCATGAAATGTGAATACATGTGAAATGCTTAGGACAGAGCTTGGCCTATGGGAAACATTCATTCAATGTGTGTTATCTAATATTAACAGCTTAATGAAGCAGTGACTCATTTAAACCTAACAATAGTTTTTTTAAAAATTAAATGAAACTATCTGTCCAATGGCATTGTCTTGTACTTCCTGGACTAATTCCCTGTAAAACAAATGGCCCAGAAATATCAATTTAAAAGGCTACATTATGCCCTACCAAAGAGATCTCTCATGTCTTCCTTTGACTTTATGGCAAAGATGAAGTTGAAGTTGAAGACCTAACACCACACTAAAAAGGTGGTAAGCTTTGAGAACAACTCCTAAAAACAAGTATACACATTGTGTTGACTTCTCTCATTGCCAGCAACATGTCATCTTTCATTGTCATTAGGTCATATTCTCGGAGCAGTCCCACAGCAGTTGGCATTTGACGGGTTAGTGCTCTGAGAAGGTGCCCAGTGAAGAGTGCCCATATTTAGCAAATAAAAATGCAAAACCTTCGGTGAAATTTGAATTTCAGATAAACAACAAAGAGTGTTTTAGTATAAATAGGTCTCATGCAGTATTGGGGACATATACTAAAAAGTTATTTGTTGTTTATCTGAAATTCAGATTTAACTGGGCTTCCTGTGTTACATCTGACAATGCAGTAAGTAGAATTAATAAAGAATATTTCTCACATTTCAAGTGGATAAGTCAACACAGACATACAGATTATAAGGAGAGACTGATATGGGCTATGTTTTAATTTTCATAAGTTGGTTCTTCGTTATTCTATTTCTTACTTAATTCCTCTTCTCATTGCCCATCAAAATAGCAGTACTTGTTTCCTGTTTAATGTGAGTGAAACTGATGGGTCAGCTCTTTGCTTCAATCAAGATGTTAGAGTAAATTGTAATTATGTGCTCAATTTCTTTTCTGTTGTTGTTTGTTTGTTTAAAGACGTGGTCTCGATCCATCACCCAGCCTGGAGTGCTGTGGCATGATCACAGCTCACTGCAGCCTTGACCTCCCAGGCTTAAGAAATCGTCCTACCTTAGCTTCCCAAGTAGCTGGGATCACAGACACATAACACCACACCAGGCTAAATTTTTATTTGTATTTTTTGTAGAGATGGTGTCTCACTATGTTGCCCAGGTTGGTCCTGAACTCCTAGGCTCAAGTGATCTTCCTGCATTAGGGCTGGGTTTACAGGTGCTAGCCACTGTGCCTTGCCACGTGCTCGATGTTTCTTTAAATTAGAATAGTGTTAATTGAGGTGAGGACCAGCTGTATGTCAGGTGCCATTTCAAGGATGAATAAGACACAGTCCATCCCTGGAGGATAAGGGGAAAACAACATAAAGTGCTACTCTATTAGGCAAATACAGAGTACTGGGGGAGTTCAGCAAGGTCAGTTACTAATTATCCTGAGAAAGATGTGGGAGTCAAGGACACCTTACTCTGTGGGACCCAAAGAAAAGTAGCTCCAACTCGGATAAGCAGGAGAGGTCCCAGAATGGTAGGAGTGCCGAGGCTAGGAAGCAACCCATCCTGATTGCAGTAGGAAGACTGGAGGAAAAAATAGGGTTCAATAAAATCAAGAGCGCTACTAGGAACTTGGAAGCCCTCAAGGTTATTAGAAGGTGACAGAATGCAAAGAAAAAAAAATTATGATTAAATTATTTCCATCTAAAATATAAAGTTAAAATTAAAACTTGTTTCTTCAAGAGAGAAAATGTCCAGGAAAGGCCTGATGCAAGTGTGATGTGCCTAAAATGGGTTGATTTTGAGCTACTAGTTGTGGCTCAAACACAAGATCCCATTTAAATCTGAAATCTGAATGTTCTTCAAATGACCCAGAGTGGAAAGCGTAATCAAACCCTCCACTAGGTTATAGGGAACAAAAGTCACATAGTCTAATAGCAGAAACGCTGCCTATTGGTTTTCTCTTTTTAGATTCACCTCATAAACAAGTCAAAGAAGAACTATGACTATAAAAGAAAATGTAAGTATAACTAACTTTTTTAATGCACAGTGTAAACGTCAATCGTCAATTGGTAGAAAGGGGTAGGAGCAGGAGCAGGGTGGAGAGAAGGGTGGGGTACTAAGGTTCCCATTTTAGGGAGTGACAGTCAAAAGATACTGTCTGTGGTTGACAGAAGAGGATAAAAAGGTCTGGGTGTACAGAGGAAAGAGCAGTGCAGGGCTGAGCATACAGATGTATCTCTATTAGGAGATTAGGGAGGAGATAAGACTAGTGTGTATATGAGTTAAATCTTCATTTCTCTTAGGATAAATTAGATAGGGCCTAAAATGTAATACCAATAAATAACTAGATAGCATGTTATTTTGGAAACACAGAAATCACTACCAGAAATCTAAAAACAAACCATTCAGAGTTTGGAGAATGGCAATGAGCTTGAGGTGGAGGTTGACATTGGGGTTGAGTGGGCTGAGGTGGGAGACTTGCTTTTCTTTTTTAGTACTTCAGTGCTACTTATTTGAACTATGCTCATGATTGCACCGAATACATACTTAAAACTTTTTAAGATTAGAAATTTGTGAGAAGGCTTCACCATGGCAGTAGCTTTCAAGCTTGAGTAGGAGTTCTTCCAGATGAACTCCTACTCATTCTACAGAATATGGAACTTCATGAGCAAAGGCTCAGGGGCCTAAAAGTGAATCAAACTCTTTGGGAATGTCAAGCTCTCCATCATGGCAAGAGCATTAGGCATATGGGTAGGACAAAGCAGAGGGTAAGAATGAAAGGAGGGCTGGGGTTACTAAAAAAATGTCCTCTAGATAATGTAACAGAGTTTGTACAGTGAGCATCTTAAGGACAGGAACCTCGTCATTTTTATTCTTGCATGCAATACGAAATTTAGCACATGGCGATATAGTAGTACACCACAACATGCAGTAAAGTTAAGAAAATGACATAATTGATGGTAATTTGAAAACCTTTTTTCCAGTTAAGATATAATATTGATATTGCTAGAAATCTAAACAAAACAGAGAAAAATACGAAGTACAGGTTTCCCTACAACCCCAACCTCATTAGATAATTATTTAACAAGTTGGTACATATCTTCTAGATGCTTTTTGAGATGTGAGTGTGGTTATTAAGAGAGCAGAGTCAGGAATTCAGCTCTACCTGTACTCCTTCTAAGGCCTTGGGCAAGCTATATAGCCTTCTAACCCCTCAGTTTCCTGATCTATAAAATGGAAATAATAACAGTGCCTACCTCACTGGGTTGTAATGAGGATGATAAGGAATAATGCATGTGAAGTGCTTGGAACAATGTTTGACAAGCAGAGGGAGCACTTGATAGATGTTAACTATTAGTATGTGTATAGATATATATGCATACAGATTCATATAAAGATACTTATGAGAAAGATAATTCATACATATATGAATATATATATATGTGAATAACTAGGAAGACCTGGAAGATACTGTTGGTTTCTGTGGGTTAGAAAAACAGAGACACAGAAGTGGGAAGATAGAATGTCATGATCTGAGAATAGAATTTGAAGGCCAAGAGTCCAATGATGATAACTATGCCTCTAAGTTTTTGAAATAGAAAAAACTAATCATTTATTTGATATTTTAGCCAATTCAAAAACTTATTATCCAATACCAGGCTAAGCTTTCATTCCTCACTGGCAATGCCTCAATGTCTTTTGTGGATGCGGTTTTCTTAGGGACTTGAGAACTGTGGATGTCACAATGGGTTTGTTTGTATACATTCAATAACTGGATTCTACCACCTGGATTGCCAAATTGGTCTTCAGGGCATTTTTCCTTACCCCAGTCATTGATAACACCCCTACTCACCTTAATCAAGATGTAGGAGGCATTGTGCCAAATCCAAGACTCCCAGGTTTCTCTCTGTGATTCAGTTACAACATTCTTTATCTGGTTGCACAGTTCCTACTGTTTTCATACTAATCAAGGCCCTCAAAAGGTCTAACCTTGACAATT